GTGTGCGGCCCTGACCACAGTGCGATACTTTAAATGTTAATTTACTGTATAATAGTTTCACGAAAGACCACATAATTAACTATATTGTATTTCACTCTTTTAATAATCTCTAGTAATGTACAACTTAGTAAATTAAAATTAATTCTAAGATTATCGTTTGGATGTAGAGTACAGTATAATGTACAGAGAGGGACGGTGACCCCTCCACGCCGACAAGCCTTGGCCTGGGTGTGTGTGCTACCACAGTACAAGTATTCCTGTATTACCTCGCATTATTATCTCCTACTACTAAATTCTCTCTCGTTGCCATAATGACACAATTAGTTCCATGAATAGTTAGTTATGTATTTTAATAAGTTATAGAAGAGGCTTTATTTTTAAATGCAATTGGGTTTAAATTTTACCTTCCCTTTTCCTCTGTCATACATTTGTACAACAATTTGCAAAAATATTTCTAAAGTGCACTCATATTTTACACGATCCATTTAAAAGGTATCCCTAAATCTTTTGCACTACAGTAAATTTCTCGAGTTCCCATTATTATTCAGCCTTCAGTAAGCTTTTGGCGATAATTTTTTTCCACTAAACGGGAGAGATTTTGAGGAAATAAGAAATGTACAAATTGACTGTCTAGAATCTAGACTCTAGATGAATTCTATTGAGTTTATGATATTAAATTAAGTTTATAGAAACACTGAACAAATGTTACAATCAAACTGATACAGTACTGTATTACAATGTTCCTTCAGTGAATTGTTTAGAAGGTATTGTACAACGAGAATTTATTCGAATGCTTCTTGAAATAACCACATTAATTTAGAATATATATTTCGCAGGTAGTGTTGTAAATGCCTTGACCCAAAACAGAATATTATCGACTGTGTAGATAATAAGTAAAAAGGGATAAGAAATTGGTAGTTTTATAGTTTCCTATTTGTTGAATTGGGGCCGGATTCAGGAGTGGGCAAAGTGGGCAGCTGCCCAGGGGCCTCCACATATTACAATATTTTATTAATTTGTTTATTCATTTGGATTATTTTTATTTTCATTCTTTAAAATTCATGTTTATCTATTCCATCACGTAAAACTATGTTCATGAATATCCTATGAACCGTATATTTTTAATGAATGCTATTGTTTGTGTTGCTAATAATATATTTAGAATTCCACAAACGTATATTGATTAAAAATGAACTACATGGAATAACGAAATTGAGATTAAAAAAGCAAATAAATTATTTTTTCATTATCACTTTCATTAGGAATGCCATCAGGGCGCTGTGTGTGTGACAGTCGGTCCGAGGGGGTTGGGTCGTGTAGTATCTGCACATCGGTTGTCATGTGTCTGTCGATTAAAGAGGAGACTTGAGTCGCCCATGATTCGTGAACTTCCCACAAGTAGACATAAACATGTCTTGCAGATGTAAAATGAGAGTGAGAATTGTCATGTGTGCTTGTTGAAAATTTTCCTGGGGGGCTTACAGGGCCCCCCGGAACTCCCATATGTTTAGGCTCGCTTCACTCGCCACCCCACCCTCTTGGGTAGGTATAATGAGGGGGGCCTCCACAAAGAGGCTGCCCATGGGCCTCCACAGGTCTAAATCCGGCACTCTGTTGAATTTGTTTTCTTAATACAGTGCAGTTCAATACTGCATTGTACTGTACGATTCAGTTGGGATGCCATGCAGAATATCTATACTGTACTAAGGGTGGATCCAGGGGGTACTGGACCCCCCGTTTTCATCAGAAAATGTCCAATCCTTTTTCTTTAATGCAGTATTGTACTCCTGCGATTTTGTAACACAAGATTTGATTTATTTTTCTGAATGTATATTTATTGCAGTTTATACTATAAAATCTTCTACTGTATATGTATATTATTGCTATATTAATTTCCCATTACAAAAATAAATAATTTTAATAAATATTATACAAGTTTGTTATATCACCTACACATCCATGTCTTGCCATTTCCTCTAATATGTCATGGAAGTCACACATCCTCAACATTGCTAAAGCTGCCTCCCGAAAGCTGGGAATGCTGTACAGATGATGTAGCTACTTCACACCTGAGCAGTTTCTTCAAGTTTATAAGGGATTCATTCGTCCTAACTTGGGGTACTGCTCTCATATCTGGGGTGGCTCTTCTTCTGTCCAACTGTTAGATAGGGTGAAATCAAAGGCATTTTGTCTTATTGACTCTCCTTCCCTTTCTCTTCACCAAAATGTTGCTTCACTCTCTCTCTCTCTCACTCTCTCTCTCTCTCTCTTTTACAGTTACTTTAAGGGGCAATGTTTGGTGGATTTGGCATCCTGTGTACTGCCGGCAAGGCCGGGGACTCTTAACACTCATCTTGCCCGCGGTGCCCATTGTTTCTCTGTGGATGTCGGTCACACGAGAATAACCCGTTATAGTACATCCTTCTTTCCTCACACAGCCAAACTGTGGAATGCTCTGCCTTCTTCTGTGTTTCCAAACTCTTACAATCTGTCTCACTTCTGTAATGCAGGTAAATTAAGTGCAGAAGATATAGGAAGAATTTATAGTTGTAGGATTGTAAAGTGAGGAAGTTTGGTAATGTGGCCAATTAGTTTATTAACTTGGTATATGTTTTTAGGGGAAATATTCTTAACACCAATTCTAAGTATACAGCTATGTATTATTCAACTCAATGACATGGACACATTAATAAATCATTATATCGAAGTCACTAGACAATGACTCGGACAACAAACATGAAATGGCTGCACTTCCCACCAGTACAGGGGGGTCACTCACCCTAATGGATTGCTCTGACAATGACTCTCGTGCGACCTGAGGGAGGCCCAGCGGCTGGGGAAGCTGCAGGTGCTACTGGACTATGTCTCCTGTGGGAGACTGCAAGCTGGAGACTCGGTGCTGGGTAGGGAAGTCTCCCTCTGGGAAGGGGATGCCGGCCCCTTCCCTGTTACAATAATAATTCTCATGCTAATGCTCTTGGAGGGAGCTGCAGGGCCCTTATATTGACGGTCACGAGCCGGAAGATGTTGTCACTAATCTGGGTGTGTCTGGACAGGTGTACTGGCTGGAGGGTAGCTTCTTGAGTAACAGGGTCATGTCGCCAGGTTAGCTAATGATGCGACGGTGAGAACCATGACCTCTACTGGGTCAGGTCTGGACAGCTGTGTTTGCCCAGGTGCGTGGTCATGTCGCCGGTCGGTAATGCTTCCTAATTATTACCACCCGGGTGTGTCTTGGTCAGGTGAGTTTCTTTAGTAACAATGTCTTAACGCGGGGTTACTCGGGTACCTTGTGGCCGTCAGCTCTCCTGGGTCAGGTCTTACTCTCTGTAGGGTGTGTCAACTTTGGTGGGTGACCACGTGGGCATCTACTTTCTGTTATGTGTTGTTCTTCTCTAGGCTGCAAGCTATGATCTGATAAACAATCATTAAACTTAAAAAATAAATGGTTTTCCGGCATCTTCTTGGTGTATGTAGATTAATAGAATCTTTTTCTTTTCTATTTTAAATATCCTTTTACTCTTATTTTTTTCGTCCCCCTAGGCCCCGTTGTGGGTCGATGACCTGTGCCAGGGTGGGCTATTCCCCGTAAAAAAAAAAGTGTTTTGACCTTGCTAGAGGAAAGGTCACGGCCGACTTAGTTCCGATGGATTAATTGTCAGTAATGGCTAGTGCTAGTTGTGAGCAGGTCTATGCCCTTCTGAGGGCCGAGTTATTGAAGGTCAAGTCTGTAACCTTGAAATTAAAGGAAGCGATTGCGAGGATGAAGGAGGAAAACACGAGACAAGGAAAGCCCGTGTCTAACGAAGGCACAGGTGAATGGAAGGTTGTGAAGAGGGATGACCAAACTGGTGGTGAAAAAGACACCAAGGAAACGATAACAGCTAAGTGTAAAAACTCTTTTCGTCCTTTGATAGACGAATTTGATGTTAGCACAGTCAGGGACAGGGCTCACAAGGAAGGTACAAAAACTTTAATTGTTGGTGATTCCCAGGTACGGTACCTGGATAGAGCTTTTCGGACAAAAAAATAAAATAGGATGAGGGTGTGTTTGCCAGGAGCTTGGGTGGGGGATATAGTTGACAGGATGGACAACATCTTGTCTGATAATGGGAACAAACCCAAGAATTGTACCCTATGTGGCTCTTGCCCTGGATTGCCTTTTTGACTCACCCTCATTCTTAAAGATGTACAGAAGGAATCAAACTGAGGGTGTTGCTGTTGATCAGATCGAAGATTGGTCTTGGAATCGTGATACCAGGGTAAGGATTCAAGGACTGTTATTCAACATGAGGTCTTCTACCAACATCATGGCCTTCCAAACTATGAAAAGCATGTTCGAAGTTCTTCGATCTCTGGCAACAATACCCGTCCTGCAAAAACGAGATCGGGACATTTACCAAGCCTATCTACTGGTTCAGAGGGCAACTGTAAGGCTTCAAGAAATGTTTAATGAGGTTATGTTTTTTCCTGATTCACTAATGAGGTGTAACCTTTAAGGACACGTGTTTTACATTAACCCTTTGGCTGCTGGAGGTTACCCTAAGCTGAAGAAAATCATCTGGCGTTAGCCAGAATAAAATGGCAAGTGCGGGAATTGCAGTGAAATAGGTAACAATGCCATAGTTGGTGCAGTACTTGTGTTTCTCTGCTTAAAATTTTAGGTGTACATTTTTTGGGGGGATTGGAATATGTCAATATGTACACGTTTGTACACTGTAAGGGTATACAGTACTGTACTGTATTTACAATAACATTACTTCATCCATCTGTAATCTATGGTTTAATATGGAGTAATCTGCTATTAAGAATAAGAGGTATATCGTAATGCATGGTTATTAAGTGTGTACAGGCATAAATTATATAGTAGGTGTATTGATGGAAACAGATGTAGTTTTGTGATAATTGGTACATATACAGTGTGTGGAAACTAAAATATTTAAAATAAGAAATGTGGATTATAATAATTTTGCAGATCTGAACCTTCTTATGCTTGACAGGTGATGATAACTGGGCATCTTATGGTACTGATGAGAACAAGGAGTATCGTTTCCGGGATATCTCCGGCAAGACTCTCCACTTTCAGGTGAGTGTGAGGACGGTACAGTACAGTACAGTACAGTACAGTATTTAGGTTTTGTCACTGTATAAAAGAACACCACCAATGGAAAAAGGACAAAACTCTGAGATAGTTTTCATTAATGCCTAACTTTAGGGTAGAATTACACACACACTACACACTATTACGCACTATTCTTAACCCAGGGTTATATATAGTCACGGTTACTGGGGAATCATTTACATACTGTATGTAACATTTGGCATTAAATGTTTGAAGATGGTTTGTCCTTCTTAATGTATACCTGTACTTTACTTCATACTTTTCGCCATTGGTCGTCTCTATAGCCATCTCATTAAATGATGCTAACCTTTTTATTATTTGGACTAATGAGCCGATCAGTGGTGAAGAGGATGAAAGTAAAAGTAAAGTAAAAGTAAAATTTCTTCAATGTCACCAGTGCTATGTAAGTTTTTTGTGGTAGATGTTCCATCATGGCATCTCTTTTAATGCTCTCTAGTACATTACTGTGCACACTATGCTGGTATGTTATGAAGTGAATCTGTGGTATTGCAAAAGGTAAATATTTAAGATCTTTTAAAAGATGGATATCCCTGTTCTCCGAAACTTAATGCACTGTCCAATGGTTAACTATTCGCATCTGTTGCTCCCTGGTTACAGGTGAAGACTGCCCATGATGCCCATGTTGCCCTAACCTCAGGTGCTGAGGAGACCGATCCCATGGTGGAGATTTTCATCGGTGGTTGGGAAGGTGCTGCCTCAGCCGTCAGGTTCAAGAAAGGTGAGTCTTCTGCCTAATGGGTGAGGAGAGGGAAGAGGGGATAGAGAGAGAAAGACAATGGGTGGGAGAGGTGGAAAGTATGAAGTGAAGGAAAGGACAGAGAGAAGAATAGGGGGCAGAATAGAGAGAGGGAGAGAATGTTGGAGAAAGGAAGAGGGGGTAGTAGAGAGGGAGATACTGTAGTAGAGAGGGCTGGGTTTTGGTAAGAAAAAAAGGTAACAGTACAGTAATCTATCATCAAAATCGGCAGTGAAATTTTTTGATTAATTGGTATTACTGTAGTTTGGTATCGGGAGAATTAATTATGAAAGATGTATTAAAAAATTACAATGCTGAAATTTACTCTGAAATAAATACCTGTGCAGTATTATCAAAAAGATGATTATGAAAGCCATGTCATATGTAGGTATAGTATAGTATAGTATAGTGAAGTGGCTGATCCAGGAATATCAAAATGGGGGTCTATGAAGTTGTGGGTGAGGGACCATGGCAAGCACAGCGAGCCCACTCAATTGGGGGATGGGGGGGGCACTGAAGCCACCCCCAAGAATTTTTTTGAAATCTGATCAACATCATGGTCATTTTGAGGCCATTTTGAATCCATGTGCACTTCATATTAGGAGATAGTCTGAGGTCAATAGTAATTACTTTTTACTGTACAGAAATGCCAGAAAAGTATTGTAATTTTCTGGTGGAAAGGGGGTCCAGACCCCCTTATCTGGACCCGCCCCTGCAGTGTTCACAAAGGCATAAGCTGTATAACCATTAAATTATACTCATATGGTGAATATTGTGTTTGCATGTGTGAATCATGACTAACTTGAACATAAAACTCCCTAGCAAGTCAGTATTTTGTCATGGGTATCAGTTTGCACACACATATATACCTTCCCATATATACTGTACACACCAGCAGCCAAACACCTTACTCTACAGTATACAAATAGCCTCAAAGTTCTGATGGCAGTAAGAATAGGATTATAGAATACCAGTCCATTGTAGGTTCTTGGCACTTAAATTTTTTTTTATTTTTACTAATGTTTATACAGTATCAATTTTATTTCGAGTCCTTAAGAGACAATTTTGTTTTACTATTTCATTCCATTACATAATATTTAAATTGCTTTGGTATTGGTGAAAAGCCCTGAATCACAATACAGTACAGATATTAAGTGCCGAAGGTCATGTTGGAATTAACTGATGAAAGTGTCACAAAAACAATGATCTTGGTATTGAATTGACTCAGGAGTTGATCTGGTTTCATTAGTTCTAGTTTATCAAGTGTTGGATATGTTGTGTTTGGCAATAAATACTACAAATATTTTTCTTATTTCTGCAACCCAGAGGACAGCTGTGAGTATACAATATTATTAAATGCATGATCATTTGTATATATACAGTACTGTATATGTTTTTGTTCATTCCCAAAATATACAGTTTTTTTAGGGTTTATCCATAGGAATGAAAGGATGAAAAAAAATGCCCATAAAATTAAAGTACAGTACTGTACAAGTACTGTTTTGTATTTTAAAATAAGTTTGTGTAAATCCATCCAACATACAGCCAATAAAATGTGTTGAGACTCCTGCTTTTCCCAGCCTCCCTCCCATTTCTTACTGGCCGCTCCCTCACTTGGACGTTAGTGTTACGGTTGCCAAATACCTAAAGTATAGTAAAAAACAAAAGCATGTTGAGTCATATTTTACTTTGTCTATTTTATATTTTTAAGTTCAAATTTATTATAATTTGTTGGTTCTTTCCTAAGTAAGCAGCTGAAATATTTGTAAATATTTAAAATACTGCAATGGGCATTCAGAAAAATATGGCCTTTCTACCAGAGTAGACATGCCAAATTAGTTGCTCACCAAAAGTCATTTAGAAAATGCACACACATGTCTTGGCAAGTTGGCTCTTGACACTGATAGAAGTCTGGAAGACTATTATTGTACCATTGTGAGTGTTGACGGAACTGGTGAAATTACATAATGGCATTATGAGAACCGAGGCTCAATGAAAGTGATGTAGGCTTTGGTCAGTAGGTATTAGGTTACCCCAAAATCTTTTTATTTAATCAAACACCGTGGCCTCAAAAATGAGGCTCGCCATTTTCCCACCCGCTTCCGAGTAATACAGTGCTTTCAAAATGCTTTCCTCACTTCTTTATTTAGCACTACACGAAAGGCATAAGGCACCCGAATTATAACATGGAATTCTCAGTTCCAATAATTGTTTAATTTTTGTTCAACACGGGCTAAAAAAATCATGGGCCTTGGGCTTCAGCCTCGCCAGCCTGGGTAGCCAGAATTAAGATGGCACCTTAACTCGAAGCTTGCCAACCATATTGACATGGATTAGTATATGTCTTTAGAAATTATGTAAAATAAAACCAAAAGTCATAAATGCTTAATGTCACTCACAATATTATGCAAGGTTTTATTAAATCAAACTTTTTAACAGAACATTGTCTATAAGGAAGGGTTTATTATAGTAAACGATGCCAACCCCCCCATTAGTACATCAAAACACCTGAGGTTATCACTCATTTTCTAATACACCAAACCTTGGGTCCTGTTACCTTTTTTACTGGCATTACTTCTTTATTAAAATTAAAAAAGTTATTGTAATTGCAGTAACTACTTTAGTATTCATTCTAAGACACATTAAAGCAGACTAATACAGTTTGCTGCTGTGCTACAGATAGCAATGGTGTTAGGGAGAGTCACACCTGTGGGTTTGGTTCTCCCACCTGGCAGGATACTTTGTAGGCCACTGAATCAATCGCAATTAAATATCAGGACCTTTTTATTATCCGTATTAGATTTAAAAATAAATAGTCTGGTATGATGTAATGTTCTGGTGTTTTAATAAACAATGTAATCACTATTTAAACTGCTTAAAAAAAAGTTTATACCCATAGCTGTATTATTAACATCCTGTTATCATCCTCTTGATCTTTCCAACAGGGGAAGATCTGGTGAAGGTAGACACGCCAGACATTCTGAGCGAGGAGGAATACCGTGAGTTCTGGATTGCCTTTGACCATGATGAAATCCGTGTTGGCAAGGGTGGCGAAGGGGAGCCTTTCATGCAGTGCCCCATCCCAGAGCCCTTTGGAATCACCCACTATGGCTATTCTACTGGCTGGGGTGCTGTTGGCTGGTGGCAGTTCCATGGTAAGGCTCATCATTATGTAATACCTGTACTAGTGGGAGCATCTCATTTCATATTACTCATGGCAACATTTGTTTCCTCTCAAATTTGACCCTTGTTTATATACTGGACTGTAATTTGGGTGAAAATTTCTCTACTCACTCAGTAAAATGGGTTTGCATCTTTCTTCATTATGTGGATACACAATCACATGTACAGTACTTTTGTTCTTTAGTTTGTATTATACAGTACTGTACATACTTAAAAATTTTGCTCCATTTTATCCTCTTTCATCACATCCACTTGATGGCTTACTAGTTCATCGTTAGTCTGTTGCTTGTTATTGGCAAGTACTGGACATACGTATACAAGGATCTGGAATGTTCCAGTTGTTTATAAATACTGGACTTAGGAGCTACACACACACACACTTGGAATTATCATGACACAGTCAGTTTCTGTATTAGCAGCTTTATTAAGATGAGGCTGTGATGATCATCTGTCAGGTATGTACAGTACATATTGGACTGAAAATGTCCATTGATGGGTCTCTTAACTTCTAGTAATCTCCTCCTGACCTTCTGTAGTACACCTGTACTGGACAATTGTAGATGTTCTAATCTGTCTTGGGAAATTATGTGTCTGAGTGATTACACCAGTTTGGTGGCCCTTCTTTCGACATTCTTAATGATTTGGGTCTTTGGCAGTACTTGAGGTGATGTAGCACAGTAATAGTATAGTAAACCCTAAAAGATCCGGACCCGGTAAATCCAGATTTCGGAAGATTCGGACAAAAAATTTGGGGGTTCTGGGCTAAGAAGCCTCCCTAAGAGGTATTCCCAAAACAGGGTGAAGGTATTTTTAGGCTTAAAGTTTTTATCTTATAAAATGTCAGACTAAACTTAGCAGAATATAACTTGCATTGCGGGAATCCTTGCAAGACAGCAAATAATTTGAGTATAGACATCACATAGTTTGCTCAAGAGATAAATTTTTAGTCCTTTAGTGTAGTGCATTTGAGTACTGAGTACAGTAATGTTGATTAAAATTATGAATTTTTCACAGGAAAAAGTCTGTATAACTAACCCCAGTGGCCAGGATAATATGCACTGTATTTTTGGTGTTTCTTATACATTTGGTACATTCACCAGAAGATTCGGACAATTGGCTTTTTCAGACAGGTGTTCCCACATTTTAGTCCAGATCTTCGAGGGTTCACTGTAATGTAATTAAGGGATGAAAGAGTAGAATTTATGAAACAACATAGGATGTTCATTAGTTATTAACAACTTTACAGCTTTACAGTCAGACTCCTAATTTTCTTTGTACAGTTTCTTTACTTTGTTATCAGTTAACTAGAAAACTTACAGCTTTACAGTCAGACTCCTTATTTTCTTTGTACAGTTTCTTTGCTTTATGGTGTTATCAGTTAACTAGAAAACTTAAAATTTAATCATTTGTCCACAGCTGAAAAGTCGTATAACACAGAAGACTGTTTGACCTACAACTTTATACCCGTGTATGGCGACACTTTGGAATTCAGTGTTTCCTGTAGTAATGATGCACACGTAGCACTAACATCTGCAGCAGAAGAAACAACACCAATGTACGAGTTGCTCCTTGGTGGCTGGGAAAACCAACACTCGGCCATCCGCCTCAACAAAGGTGAGTTCAGTATAGGTTGACAATCCCTTATCTGAAATCCTTGGGGCCAGAGGCATTTCGGATTTCGGAATTTTTCGGTTTTCAGAATGGTTATTTTTTTTTTGTGTTTTGTTTTTGTAGCCCACCTGGGCACAGGTCACTGACCCACATTGGGGCCTGGGGGGCGAAAATATAATAATAATTATAATAATAATAATAATAATTCATAGGTCTAGGTCGTGTTTCTCACTTTTTATCTTTTTTTCATTCTTGCATTTCTTTATTATTATTATTATTATTTTATTAATACAGTATTATTGTTATTATTATTATTATTATGAATTTTATTATATTTTATTATTATTAATATTATTATCATTATTATTTTATTTTGGTGTATCCTCCTGTCCTGCTCATCATTTGTCCTAAACCACTTTTCGAAATCCTGAGTTGTCTTTATAACTTTGCCGACCGCTGCATGGTTCATGTGTAGCGGTCTCTTTGTATTCCTGGAGGCACTGGGTGTGGTCTTTGGTATATATTTATCAATCAAATGGTTCACTTTACTGACGATGATATTCAGTGTAGTGTCTGCATTCTTATGCCTTTGTGAGCCAGGCCAGTGTATACCCATCATCTCCCTAATACTGTTGTGATTTCCCTTGTAATATTTGCACCTTGGTCTGGTTTTGTCATGAACCAAGTAACAGTTAATTCTGAAGGACAACGTAATGTGGTGACTGGTGCCTACGGGGGCTAGTTGTTCCAGTTTGGCCACCATACCCTCCTCGTTAGTCATGATGAGGTCCGGCAGTTTAGGTGTTTGCTCCCCTCTGTAATGAGTCGGATCCTTAACATGTTGGAATAGAAAATTGTCTCTCAGAGTTTCTACAAAACGAGTAACGGGGTTATTTAAGTCATTGGGCTCGGTTTCATTTCCCCAATTGATGTCTCCATAGTTAAAGTCCCCCATGATAAGGAGATGGCTAGGGTCGAGTATCGTTGTATTGTAAATTAAAGCTCTTAAGTTTCTTTGGTTTAAACTACAGTTTGGGGATCTGTAGGTACACCCGACAATGATTAAGGTTTTCCTTTTTGTTTAATTTTATACCATTTTGATTCTTCAAAAACATCCCCCCACTGTACCCTCACCTGGCTGGATCTAAGGTCTTGCCTAGCATAGATAATCACTACTCTTGCAAGATGCTTGAGGAAAGCTCGTAAATGAGTCTTATACATCTAGTGTATATTGAACTTGGTTATACAATACCTAATATGTTGGGTTTATGTTTCTTATCAAGGAAAGTGTTATTATTAGTGTACATGACTTTCAAGCTGGAATTAGTCCACGGTAACATATATGATCTTGGTAGTGACTTTGGTCTCCCTCCATTATCATCAGCCGCCTTGTTTACTACACTCTTCGCATTCTGTGGGGTGTGGCTAGAGATGACATTGTTAATATAGCGCTCACCTCGTCCTGGGTGGGAGGTTGGGGGTGTCCCACTGTCCCCTGGTTCTGTACTGGTGCACTTGCCTCCACTACTTTCCCCTTGTATATAACCTATCAGTGTCTGTCACTGTTTTTCATCGATTCCTCCCTCTTCTGCCTCAAGCACATCAGGTTCTCTTGTCAAAACTATAAGGAAGTGCAGTACTGGGTTTATAAATGGAGTTCCCAACTATTGTGAATCAGGCACTTGGGCTTTTGACAAATTTTCACTGCTATACTGTACTGTATTCTACTGTACTTTTGGGAGTACAACTTTCCTGCTCCTTTCATATGAAAACAAAGAACCAGAACAGGCTGGATATGTTATCTGATGCCAGATTGACGCTATGCACCCTTGAGCAGCTGGCTGATTATTATGTTGTTTGTGTGGTTTGTAACTGTGGGGCCAGAGCCGAGTGAACAGTAAAACTTGTTTATGCATTGTACCTGCAAATCCTCTTCCATCAGTCTTAAGATCACAATTGATGATCCAAGTAGTTATTTTGGAATCAGGTGGGTGAGGTTATTATGAAGGTAGCCTTGTGAAAATGGGATAATGATAAAACAAATAAATAGTTTGGGAACCACTGATCTATCCTAAGCAAGATAGTGACTCTTCATCTGGTTCCTTATTTGAATTATATGAAATAACAACTTATACATTTTATTTTTTTCATCCAAATGTGAGGAATGTTAGATCAAAATCGACCCCCCCTTGAATTTAAAATACAATACCGTACTTGTTATTTATATGTATTCAATAATCACAGTGAAATTTTCTTAACAGGTGATGACATGATCAAAGTAGACACCCCTGACATATTGTGCTGTGAAGAAGAGAGAAAATTTTGGGTTTCATTTAAGAATGGTCACATCAGAGTTGGCTACAAGGACACAGACCCCTTCATGGAGTGGACAGACCCAGAACCATGGAAGGTACTGTATGTTTTATTCTGGCAATATATATATATATATATATATATATATATATATATATATATATATATATATATATATATATATATATATATATATATATATATATATATATATATATATATACTACACAGTAGATAGATAGGCAGCTACCAAACAGGGAGGTACTAATGCCTGGGAAGATATTGGAAGCATAATGGGTTGTCTAATGGTAGACCCTGCTGCCATATGGCATCACATAAATTGTGACCAAGTTGCTGATCTGACTTTCTGCCTCATTTACACACAATTGCAGGGTCTCAATTGTTTCTCTTACTTGAACAACACAGCATATATTATGTATATAATTTCTCACTCATGATTTATTTTTTCAATATTGTATTTTTTTTATGGTTATTATTTTTGTTAGTTTTATTATTTTATTTGTATTAATTTGCTATTAATTTTATTAATTTTTGTAATAATAATATATATTATTATTATTATTATTATTATTGTTATTATTATTATTATTTCCACCTTGTGAAACCTTACGGGTGCTCGGTGGCCATCGTAAATTTTGTTGTACGATAAGTTGGGTTACAGTCACTGTAAACTGTTAGTGAATTGACCGTTCACTGTTAAGGTTGATCATAAGGACTTACAGTGACCATAAATCGTTAGTGAATCAGGTTCATGCCTTCAGCAGTAAAACCTCTTAAATTAGTAAAGTAACTGGCAGAGTGGTCCAGACACATGAATTCTATGTATTTTATGACATTCAAATTATATAGATGAGTGAAGGGTGATACATATAACAGTAATACCAAATAATTTTCATTTATTATCAGATGGATTTTTCATTAACAAATTGCCACCTTAGGCATCTTCTAGAAGCATCTATCAGCACCTCACCTTGTGTGATACTACACTGAGCCATCCACACAACTGCTTATTCCTATTTGCACAATATAGTTAAGGTTTATTCAGTTGTGTTATACCCAAGTCACATTCATTTTCTAAAAAAAAAAATTTCCCAATACGTACTTTTGTCGCATCATAACCAAGTTGCATTATGAAAACTCACATTATAGACAAACAGACTGTACAATACAAGTACTCCTCGACTTATGACATACTCGACTTACAACAACCCGGACATACGACCGCCATGGTAGTATAAAATATTTTTCAAATTACGTATTTTCTAGTACCGACGTCAGTGATCGCTCTGTTACTGACAATTTTTTTTAATTCCCTTTAAAATGGCTGACAAGCGTAAAAGTGAGAGTTCTCGTGGTGCTGAGAAGAAAAAGAGACACCCATTTTAGATTTTATATGTATTGTTTTCGCCTTTTCGATTTCTGACCTGGTCGTCGGGACGAAACCCCGTTGTAAGTCGAGGAGAGACTGTAGTACTGTATAATATAAGGTGATGCAAACTACACTTCACAAGACTTTTTAAAACTGTAGGTGATTACCAGACAATTTTTCAGGTCAAGGGTAAACGTATTTCCATATGCCTAGAGAATAACTACAGCTCTTTTTATATTTCAGATAACCCACATTGGCTACTGCACAGGCTGGGGGGCCACAGGCAAGTGGAAATTTGAATATTAAGTGTGCAGTGGAAGAAGAACCAGACCATGTCACACACACACGCCAACACATATGTGTTCCACAGTAGCTTAATAAAGAATAAACTCGGTTATCTTTTTATATTTTTTACCTTTCTCTTGAACTGTAGAAGCAGAGATCTTGGTTAATTTCTGAAATATTCTGAGGTGTTCTCTTTCTTCATAATAGGTAAATATATTTGACAATATTGTATTGTATAACAATCAGAAATCGAATGTAGATGCTATACAGTGTATGTACTGGATAAATTTACATGTAGAATCTGGATCTAGCAATAAGATAAACATGCAAGACCTTAGTCATGGGCAGCAAATAATTTATAAAACTTTATACCGTCTTCTTCCAGTTACTCGTATAAAAAAATACAAGAAATAACTAAGGGTAAAGGAAATCATGAAAACAACCTGGCTCTTCACTTCAAAAATTTAAGCAGGTTATCCCCAATGGAAAAGTAACTACTGTACTGTACTTTAGTGTTTTTTAGTTCTACAGGGATAGTAACAAATATCTGCAAAATAGTAAGATTATAGCTTGAAAATATTAGGTTGGAAAAGTTGTATCCCATACAAGGTGCCATTGAGGTTAAAGTTCAAGGCATATTGAGATGGGGTCTGCTGTTGCTTCACAACAGTTAGGATTCATTACATTTCACATTTGCTGCAGTGGAAAAAATGGTTATTAAGTCACTCGACTTAATCGTCCAAAACAAGAACTTTTTCCTTTGGTTTGTTTTAAGGTTAATATGAGGGAATTTAAATCAAGTACTGTATATTACTTTAGCATGATGAGACTCTCAAGGTAACTAAGTTTTGTACTGTACTATGTACTGTACTTAGAAAGTAAGGAAACCATGATAAAAAAAATTATCTACAAAATTATGATAATACTGTACAACAGGGGTGTCAAACTCATGGCCCACGGGCCAAATGTGGCCCTCGGGATGACGGTAAAATTTATCCCGTGAAATTTTGAAAAAAATAGCTGGTCCTCCTCTGAGCATCCTCACCAACCAGCTCTCTCTACATCACGCTTGTAACCATGCTGCCTTCCCAGCACCAAGCTGTACTGTACAGCCAATACAATATGTATACGGAGAGCACATTGTGAGTTTCCTTTCTCCATCCCATCCTGAGTGTGAACCAATATCTTGTACCCCACAATGCGTTGAGGAAGAGTCACGAACGTGTGATTTTCCTTGTGCATCCGTATATATGTGAGCCTGGGGCAGTTTCGGCCCACTCATACATACCAAAAACGCTAATCTCACCACAACAGAAATTCTATTCACCTCGGTCCCTGTAAACTCAACTATGAACGTCAGTGTCACGGGTCAGGCTAATTTTCCACGTCTATCCCTATAATCTAATCAGAGATTGAGTGTCAGGAAAAAGTGAAATGGGCGTTAAACACGCACTAACAACTCTACTTACAGGAAACCACAAACCACAGCTAAGGAATTCTTCCTGAGAAGAGCCGTTAGGTCTTGGAGATTTTGAGTTTGACAGAATCTTTTCAGGAGATTAATGACTTTCTAAAATAGACAACTGACACTAACTAAACTATAAACATCCAATTCTCTGATGTTTGGGCATCAAAATAATCTAACTTCAGTAGCACTTGGAACTCATGGCTATCCCCAAGGACGATATTAGGATATGCCACTCATACTGACAAACTCGAAACGCACTTACTTGACAAGTTTTACAAACAATAAGGACAGTTGAAGCTTTCAACATCACTCACAATGGATCTCGAATGTTCCAACTGTAATCAGACATATCTAAGTTGCCTCAACATATGCAACCACAGTTGCAATGTCAAATTCTGTGTCATTACTAAGGAATAACGAAGTCTCGGGTGCACACTCTAAGATTGAGAGAAAACGAAGGACTCAGGCGTCCTGAAGTGATGAGAAAACGGCCGTTTAGATGGGGGACTTAAATAAAGAAAGCATAGCTACATGTTTTGTGGGGTATTGAGCGTAATATGAATCGTCTGATTTTACGTTAACTGACGTGTACGACCGTGGTCATTACAATGTGACACTGAACCTGAAAGACAAGAGGCCCTGTTCAGAGCTAAGAGGGCGGCTGGATATTATGAGTATTAAATATTAGGGAAGTTCTGTGCTGAGGCAGGCTGAGATAGTTTGGGCATGTGGAGAGAATGATGAGACCAATTGGATTAAAAGGTGAATGCACCTAAATGTGGAGGGGAAGAGTCAGGGTTTGGCAAGAATGACATGATGAGAGGATGTAAGAAATTAAATTAGATTTAGGAACCTGACAATAGATGCTGCAAGAAACTGTACAGTATGGAGAACTGTCATCAGGTAGGTAACCATGCAAGCGTGAAAATAGCTTGGCCCTAAGAACAGCAGATGTTGCTGGAACAATTATTTCATGACTCTATCAGCTGCCTTTGGTTAAATTAACTGAATATCAAATAAAGAGTGAAAGACTCAGGTATACGTAATGTACAAGGGATGGGCGCGAATTTTTATTTATATATTTTTTAAAGCGAGAGGAAGCATCTTCAGAGGTAAGCATCCTGACTGCTGGCGTCCACAGAGTGGACTTCAGAGATACTCAGATACCTATTTTTAACTTTTGATTAATGTTTGATGGTATTCACATTAATTTCGTCTGAGTTAGGTATGAAACCTGTGTTCAGGATACTAACTTTTCCTTTTCATTTATCCTATTCACCAAAAGATCGGTTCGCTAGCCGCCCGGGCGATCGGTCACGTCTCTGTCACACACTGTTGGCAAATACTGGGCATGCACCGGCTCCTGAATGTACCTGAACCCGCTCCAGTGTTGGTCAAGTCTTCTCTTGAAACAGCTCACACTCGGTGCCGTCACAACACTCTCTGGTAGATTGTTCCAAGAGTTCACAACTCTCACTCCGAAAAAGTTTGCCCTCACAGTTTTTTAGACCTGCGGCTTCTTCAGCCTTGAGCTGTGACCCCTTGTGGGTCGACCGTCCGCCAGCTCCAAGTAAGGACACTCGACTGAGTAGTGCCCCCTGAGATGCTTATACACCTCAACTAGGTCCCCCCTTGCCCGTCTGTAGTATAAGCTAGGCAAGTTCAGGAGCTCCAATCTCTCAGGGTAGCTGAGGTGCCGAAGTGCAGGCACCAGTCTGGTGGCCCTCCTTTGAACATTTTCAACCAACTGACAGTCCCTAGCATATCTCGGGGACCAGACGGGGTGACAGTACTCCAGATGGGGAAGCACTTCACTCCTGAAGATTATTACGAGGGACGGACCGTCTAGATATCTGAACGACCTTCTTATAAGACCCAATAATTTATTTGCCTGATTTACCTTCTTCTCGCAATGGCCCGAGAACTTCAGCTCATTGTCAACATACACACCTAGGTCCTTCTCACACACAGTCTCAACTAGTGCATTTTCTTCATCCCGTTGGGACATATGATACGCCTCCTTACCGTTGGTACTCCCCAGGAGCATCCTCTTACACTTGGTGACATTGAATCTCAGCAGCCATTCCTTCGACCATTCCTGGAGCCCACAGAGGTCCTTCTGCATCTCTTCACAGTCCGCTTGGTTCTTGATTTCCCGAAATAACTTGGCGTCATCGGCAAACATTTGTATGGAGGAGTGTACAACGTCAGGCATGTCATTTATGATAGTGTTTGCTGTCTTGTATGGTGTGCTCTGGTAGTGTTTGCTGCTGGGTGTGTGTTGTGCTCTGGCAGTGTTTGCTGCTGGGTGTGTGTTGTGCTCTGGCAGTGTTTGCTGTCTTGTATGGTGTGCTCTGGTAGTGTTTGCTGCCTTGTATGGTGTGCTCTGGTAGTGTTTGCTGCTAGGTGTGTGTGGTGTGCTCTGGTAGTGTTTGCTGCTGGGTGTGTGTTGTGCTCTGGCAGTGTTTGCTGCTGTAGTGTTTGCTGCCTTGTATGGTGTGCTCTGGTAGTGTTTGCTGCTAGGTGTGTGTGGTGTGCTCTGGTAGTGTTTTAAGGTCTTGTATGGTGTGCTCTGGTAGTGTTTAAGGCCTTGTATGGTGTGTGCTCTGGTAGTGTTTGCTGTCTGGTATGGTGTGCTCTGGTAGTGTTTGCTGCCTTGTATGGTGTGCTCTGGTAGTGTTTGCTGCTAGGGGTGTGTGTGGTGTGCTCTGGTAGTGCTTTGCTGCCTTGTATGGTGTGCTCTGTAGTGTTTGCTGCTGGTGTAAAGGAAGTTTCTGTAGTGTTTGCTGTCTTATGGTGTGCTCTGGTAGTGTTTGCTGCCTTGTATGGTGTGCTCTGCAGTGTTTTGTCTTGGTATGGTGTGCTCTGGTAGTGTTTGCTGCCTTGTATGGTGTGCTCTGGTAGTGTTTGCTGCTAGGTGTGTGTGCTGTGCTCTGGGTAGTGTTTGCTGCTGGGTGTGTGTTGTGCTCTGGCAGTGTTTGTTGCTGGGTGTGTGTTGTGCTCTGGGTAGTGTTTGCTGTCTTGTATGGTGTGCTCTGGTAGTGTTTGCTGCCTTCCTTGGTAAGTGGTGTGCTCTGGTAGTGCTTGCTGTCTTGGTATGGTGTGCCTGTAGTGTTTTGCTGCCTTGTATGGTGGTGTGCTCTTGGTAGTGTTCACACTGCTGGGTGTGTGTTGTGCTCTAGTCGTGTTTGGCTGCTGGGTGTGTTGTGCTCTAGTAGTGTTTGCTGCTGGGTGTGTTGTGCCTTAGTCGCTTGCTGCTGGGTGTGTGTTGGTGCTCTAGTCGCGGTTTGCTGCTGCGTGTTGTGCCTCAGTAGTGTTTGCTGCTGGGTGTGTTGTGCCTAGTCGTGTTTGCTGCTGGGTGTGTTGTGCTCTAGTCGCGGAAGTTCGCTGCTGTATGTGTTGTGCGCCGTCGTGTTCTGCTGCTGGGTGTGTGTTGTGCTCTAGTCGTTTGTTGTGTTGCGTATGGCATAGCTCTTAGTCGTGTTTGCTGGGTGTGTTGTGCTCTCTAGTCGTGTTTGCTGCTGGGTGTGTGTTGTGCTCTAGTCGTGTTTGCTGCTGGATGTGTTGTGCTCTAGCCGTGTTCACTGCTGGGTGTGTTGTGCTCTCAGTCGTGCTTTGCTGCTGGGTGTAAAGCAGTTTCAGCCGTGTTCGCTGCCGTATGTGTTGTGCGCCGTCGTGTTCGCTGCTGGGTGTGTGTTGTCTGCTGGCTGCTCGCTGCTGGGTGTGTTACAGTTTCTATAGTAGTGTTCACTGCTGATGTGTTGCTCTCTAGCCGTGTTCGCTGCTGGATGTGTTGTTCGCTGGCCGTGTTCGCTGCTGGGTGTGTTGTGCTCTAGTAGTGTTCACTGCTGGATGTGTTGTTCGCTGGCCGTGTTCGCTGCTGGGTGTGTTGTGCTCTAGTAGTGTTCACTGCTGGATGTGTTGTTCTCTGGCCGTGTTTGCTGCTGGATGTGTTGTTCTCTGGCCGTGTTCGCTGCTGGGTGTCATCAGTTCCTGGCTCCCACATGTACTGTTGTCGTCCTCACTCCTCACATATATACACCCGGCTCACCTGTGTTGTCTTAGTCACCCTTGAGGAGGATGGACCTGGTGGAGGTACTCAGGAGCTCCGTGCCCTACTGCCTGGTGGTGGCTCTCCCGCTGCTCATACTCATATCACCTGTACCGGTAGACGCCGCCGCCGAGTTCACCGTCTACCGTCTACAGCAGTATGACCTACACGGCTCTCCCCATGGCTAGTATTACACACGGTCATAGGTTAAGTTATAGTAGACGATATGGGATATTTTTCGTATTTTTGCATTTTTATTGCCCTACAACTTTTGGTTAGGTTAGGTTCTGTTGGCAAAACCTGGGGGGGCAATTAAAAGAAAATTTGGTAAATATTCGTCCATTGGTTGTCCTCAGGTTTTGCATGAGAATAGGTTAATTTTTATATTGGTAAATTTTTACTTTCGGTCATGAACTCTAGGGGTTGACCAATATGTATTTCTAGTGTATATTTGTAAATTTTTTAAACGAATATGACCTAATTTTGGCGGAAATTGATATCCCCCCACAACGTTAATGAGCGAAAACCTGGGAAATCGAGGTTTTGGGTGAGGAAGAACACGAAAACGAGTTATCTAACCTAACCTAACCTAACCTAACCTAACCTTACCTTACCTTACCTTTGGGCCGCGCCATGTCTGAAAGTACAATACCTTAGTTAGAAGTCCGAGATCACGTATTTACACATTTTCGTTTTATCTTCTTTACTACCCTTCTTGGCCAATTGCAAAACCACTGATGTTTGTCCTTTCTGAATTTACAGTGCGGACACTCGACAGACTTAGGGAAAACGCCGTGATTACATAGGAATTCTATAGCTTTAATGTCTTTTTCATAAAACTTTGCAATAAACTTAAAATAATCGTAGGAGCACTATTGGCACCCAACCTCGACCACGGCCATTGTCACACTGATTGAATTTACAAGCCATAGATTTTCAAATCCTTACCCAGGCTGCATTGAAAAATGCAAATGTGATAAGTCAAAAAAAAATTGCAGGCTGATATCTATACATCATTGGTCACGACTGGATGACGTCAGTCAATATTGCACCTGCGTGATCCACAACTAACTTGGTTTCACAGCGGTAACGTCTCCTGACAAAGACTGAAAAGTTCCTAAAATCAATTAAATTCAATTGTGTTGCTATTATTTGTTTCCGCCATGTATATATGGGGTTTAAAATTTTCACAATAGGGAGATCTAAATGTTTCCGTAGTTTATAAATTTCGAGCGCACTATATCCGAAAGTAAAATAATACCTCTGTATTTTTTGGTGTTTTATTCAAATCTGACCTTCATTTCTTGGGTAAATTTGCATTAGTACAGAACAACTCTGTTAGAAAGTCAAAACTATGTTGTTTTAGTGTATTTTTGTGTTTTGATTGCTTTTGACCATAATTTCCGTCGGAAATAGCCTGTTTTTAGTAATCGGGTTTTGGGTGAGGCGTTTTCTGACAAAAATCATGGCCAAGCCAATACAAAATACACCAAAAAACACTAGAAAAACATATAAACCGAACCTAACCTAAGAATTATGCTTAAAGGATGTTGGTTGATGAGTAGTTACAACTGTAACAGTGAAAGAATCATTTACAGAACTGATGTCCACTTCAGCTCACAGGAGTGTTGCCATAATAAAAGCAATTATTAATAACTCAGCAATGGTTATTGATGACAAAATAAGTATCAGTCAACATAAAACTTCTCACGACAGTATATATCCACGTGCACTTAGGAAAAAAACTTCAGGAACAAAATAAACATTTTCAGTTTCCATAAAAAGAAATTGACACTGATCTCAAGATATGGATCTGGTCCTTTTCGCTGCCACTAATGAAACTGTTTAAATTTTTCTGTTAAATCACAGTATGAGTAACAGAAGAACTTACTCTTATGATAATTGTCACAGTTACTTGGAGTACACATGACTAACTGGAAACTGTAGACTTGTCCTGTAGACTGGTTCTAGACGGAGTCTTCTGTAACAATATCTTCTTTGTAACAGTATACTGTATAGCACCATTTTTATTTTTTGTAACACTGACACTTGTTATTGTTAAGGGTCCGTAGATCCGCTGCCAGTAACTTCTTCATTTATTATAAAAATATTTCTTATATGTATTTTCAAAAAGGGTTTTCCTGTAAATTATCTCAATGTAGCTATTGAGAGTTAAATGAGGATGGAGGCTATGTTAAATAGCTCTGCTAAGTACTTCCTGTTGATGATGAGATAGTTGAGTGTGAATGAGTAGGAACCCATCGAGGGAGAACGGAAATACAGTATATCTGACGTCCTCCCTCGAGGGAAGACGGAACCATCCACAACGGCTCGAAATAATGTCGGAGACAACCTTCACACGACATGCTGAAAAACAAACTGCCCTTAGCGCGGGAAAAGCCCCTCAGCAGAGCGCAGCCTCATTATTGCCTGTAAAATAAACTACTAGTGCGCTCCTAGCCGCCTAATTATCTATGAAATGAACAATTTCCATTATAAATGATTATCATATTAGAACTCACTGATGAAAATATTGTAGTAAAATAAACAGTACAGGGGCTCCCTAAATTTGCGAGGGCTAAGTTCTCAAAATGGCCGCGAATCGCCAAATCCGCTAATAACGTTTGCTGACGGGGGATACATTTTTACTTGTGTGCAAAGAAATTTATACTGTATTCCCTTTATGTGTTTGCCCTTAGGACAATTATTTCTTTTATCTGTATTGTATATATGTGTGTGTGTAGACACACACAAAACAAATAAATAAGAATGGGAAAATTCTCTCATAAGAAATGAGAAACAAATTTATTAAAAATGTGAGTCTACCCTCAACTCCGTGCATTATTAATTTTTTTTTTTTTTTTTACACAAGGATTAGCCCACCCGGCACAGGTCACTGACCCACTTCGGGCCTGGGGGCAAAATGTAATAATAATAATTAGTTCATAGTAAATAAAACTTATAATAAAATATAAAAATAAAATAACAATAATAATAATAATAATAATAATAAAGAACCATAAAGATATACAAAAATGAAAAAAGGTCAATAGTGAGAAACGATATATGTATGCTTTGTTGTCAATAATACGAGAAACAATTGAGACCCTGCAAATGTTTGTAAATGAGGCAAAAAGTCAGATCAGTAACCTGGGACTTGGTCAAAATTTTCGTGATGCCATATGGCAGCAGGGTCTACCATTAGACAACACATTATGCTTCCAATATCTTCCCAGGCGGTAGTACCTCTCTGTTTGGTAGCTGCCTACTACCTACAGTAATAAAGTATGGACTTGAGGGTAGACTGTCACATTTTTATTAAATTAGTTTCTGATTATTTGCGAGAGGATTTTCCAATTATTATTTATTTGTATGTGTTTTGTGTGTGTGTGTGTCTATACACACACACACTCGCACATATTTACAATACAGGTAAAGGAAATTACTGTCTCTAGAACGAATGGCTCCCTGTCCCAGCCGGGAAAATGCCGGCAACTTCAAAACTACCCATAGACATTCTTGGGTACATCCAGGGTGTCATCCGCGAATGTTGAGGACTGCGAAATAAAAATCCTAGAACTTGGGGGGGGGCTATAATAAAAACAACTCACTCACTGTTTAGTCCTATATATTAACCCTAATTAGCTATATCCTGTACTGTACAATAAATTGACCTTTGTGGGTTAGGTTAATATGAAGCAGCTTAATTCAAGGTAAACTTAAGAAAGAAGCAGCACTTTGATATGTGGGATACATTAAACTCTTGTCATTTGTGAGGGATAGGTTGCAAGGACTGACGTATTGGCAAAACTGTGAATAGCAACTTATACTACCTTAGTGCACTACTGTATACTATACCAAACAACTGACCAGCCATGGCAGAACTCATCCCCTCTTTTAACTTATCTAATAATAAAACTTTCTTTGTCAGGGTTTTTACCCCGATATTTCAGTAAATTTGTAGTTTTGACCAACTACGGCTCTCGAGTTGAGCAATGTTTTTCCCAATGGTTTAGACAATTTTAAGTAACTTTTTTCTGTGACGTTCCCCTTGCAAATGACGTAGAATAACCTAAACTCCTAACCGGGGTGCTTGGCCCCCCTGGATCCCCTGGTATATTTAAGTAATTTGCGAGTGAAACTTCAAAGAAAAAAGTGTCTTAAAATTGTCTAAATCACCAGAAAAATACTATGCTCAACTTAAGAGCTGTGGTTGGTTGAAATTACAAATTGACTGCTATTTCCCTCTTCTTTCATGCCCCACCCAATAACAAATAATTTATGATTGAATGAGGCTAAAAAAAATACTACAGTGTTGTTGTTTTGATTATATTGATAGTATCATCCATAGAACAACTGTGGAATATATGAACAAAATATATAAACATGTTCAGGTTTTAACCTTCTGTTCCTCCTTTACCGAATGCAGTTTTGGTTAACATTGAGGAGAAGGTTACCATCTGAAGGAACAGGAGAAGGTTACCATCTGAAGGAACTTAGGGAATTGGACCAAAATTTCTGGAGATGTTATTTACATGATACTGAACAACAAACGGGAAAAGACATTGAACGGAACCTGACCTAACTTTATAACTTGGAGACTCCGCCCCCTGGATCATCTGCCATATAAAATTGTTTGGCCATATTAAGTTGCTAACCAGGGGGCATAGGACACCCAAAAGAAATTGACCGTAACTCTTATGCCCCAGGCAACGTAAAACCTGCTGGACCTTCACTTCGGCATATTTTGGTATTAAAAAAAAATTATTTTAAAATTCCACTGAAAAAATGGTATTTCAGACAAAATAAGTGCAGTCATTGTGAGCATACTGTTGTGGCTGGCATGCACGCGGTGCCATACATCCACGGATACCACGACCTCGCTGAAGGGATGGCTGGCTTGGTGGAGTGAGTTCCATTGTCTGTATGACTGTACTCACCGTTGGCTGCCTCAATAACCTCTACATCATCTGCGTCTATTTCCTCCCCATCACTTTGGTCATCTGATACTGTACTGTATCATTGCCACTCAAATCAAACAACTCAAGATGAAAAGCACTACTGTTTAGGGTGTGGGGGAGCGAGGCGGGTTATGAGACGTCAAATGGCATGCTTCCATCACTGGACCACTAGAATCGAGACTAAGATTATGTGCGAGTTAATTTGCCAAATAAATAAATATCCTATGCAAAGTACTTCATCCTGCCTAAACATTCAAACTATTCCACAAAAATTAGGGACATAGAGGAGTATAACCTGGGGTCACTATTGTGGGTGCCGGAGAGCTTACAGTATTTTCTCCTATTATTAAGGCACACTGGTACATTGTAATGACTTTTATGTAAACTCTATGGTTACCTAACACACAACAATGGCATCAGTGCTCAATCGTGTGAGAGGTGACCGATGTATTTTAGCTTGGTAGAAACATATCACTTGTCAGATTTTTTATTAATTTTTATGGATATTTTTTATATTATAATAGATGCTTTTAACACTAATAAGTCATATTTAGGTACAGTACATCAACTTCGTATAAATCAGTGGGTGATGTAGACGACGGACTGTACAGTAATGAACATTTGTTGTATACAGTACTGTATTGTATATAGTGTACAGTACAGTAGTGTATGTTAGTGATGTACAGTGTATGTGAAATGATATATTTCTGCTATAATTTTTTTTTAACTTGCTGGGTATTTATTTTTCTGTAATGTGCTACAGTATTTGGTTTAGACTAGTTAGTGCATTATTCTTTTACAGAGATTTTTTTTTTTAAGAACTGTTTGTAAGTCATTTATCTTGCTCTGTTACCCTTTGTGGCAATTGTATTACAGTAGATATACACTGTTCCCAACGTAACTTATGTATTATTAGATGTTGATTATTGCTATGAAGAGCAATTCTTGTACTAAACAGTTTTCATAATTTTGCTACACACAGGTAGTCGGAGCAGCTTAGTTAATGTAGAAGCTCGGAGTGTAGACGCAAGCTCTGTAGCACGGCGGTGTGTGCTGGCGCGCCTGGCTGACCTCACTTCCACCCACTACCAGAGGGTGGTCAGTCAAGGCGCTGCAGCTCTACTAATACTTCTGCCAACAAACTTGACTGCTTTCTCTGAGGACCAGTGCCAGGTAGTAAACACATTGCCTTTTACCTTATTGTTCACAAGTACAGTACAGTACTGTACTAAGTTTTATGGCATCAACTGAAATAATAATGCCTTGTTATGTTCCAAAATCATCAGAATTGTTAAAACTTGTAAGTGGATGTGAGCCCATGTGGCTCATTTGCTAGCCTTTGTTTCCCTTCAGTTAAGTGACTTATTCACTCTTAAAGTCAAATGCTCTTGACATTGTCAAACCCCAGTGTTTTGCTTATTATTTCTCCCCCAAGACTGCAATTTCTTTGTACAGGTATGTGGGTCCAAAAATTTTTACCATAAGTAATTAGGACTAGTAAATGCCCTGCACACTGTGTCTGAAGTACAGTAGTACTTAATGTATCAGCACTTCCAATGGTGTTATGATGCATAATGAGACAGTTTATGAGTGAAGAACTGGTGAACTTGGAGGAGCTGGAATTTATTATATCCCACATCACATAAGTGTATAACATTGTATTTGTGTATGTAAAATACTGTACCTTGGTTATACACTGATCCCTGCACATGTTTCAGGTTCTGTATGAAATAAGGTTTTAAAACAGCAGAATGACAAGCTGATGAAGTCCACTTTTGGGAGGAAATTTATGTTGTGGTTCAGGTAGCTTAAACTTATATACACTGTAAATATAAATGATCATCTTTGTTGTTAAGTGAACATATCTAGTTAACCCCTTGTCTATGGTGCCGTCGCTCACCCGAATAAAATCGTCTTGCATTAGCCAAGTAAAATATTAAAAGTTGTGTTTCTGTAGTGAAAGAGTCATGATGAAGTGTGAGTGTTAAGTTTAATGTCATTTTTTGTGATTTGTCTCACATAAACATATTAGGTTGGTTATTACTCCTTGAGTTATATTTGAGGAATATTCATGCTACTCCCCCTCCCCTCTGCCAGCTGCTCTCAGATACACATTTGTCTCCACATACAATATTCTCCTACACTTATTTGTTCTTATTTTTATCTTTATAGTACTGTACAGTATACAGTTTTCTCTTGATTCATAAGACAAATCTGTTGTTACTTACATGTAACACTTACAGTAAATAACAATCATCTCGGTGACAACAGTTGTTGACAACCAGACTTATATGTCTGATTTTCAACCCGGAGAGTTCTGTTTCATATTTTTTAATTGATGTAATTTTCTTTTAATAACCTTGTTATACACTTAAAGACCTTAGTTGTTGAAGTGCAGTAATAACATAACAACAACTGATTTTCTCTAAACAGTTCAGATAAGCAGTGTTATCCTCTCCCTTCCCATCCATACATTCACTTTTATCAGACTGGGGTCTGCCCCAATAGTCTGATTTATCGAGGTTCTACAGTATAGGAAATGTAAGTTAATTGGTGAGGGAACACTTGTGTGAAAAGGTAATATGTGAGCATACATGTTTAATAGATACTTGAGACCATCTGGGATAAATATAACATACAAATGTGACACCCTGTACAGTACGTAGTTAGCTGCCGAAAATCAGTTATAAATGTGTTAGTTGTCCATAATGCTTCTTAGTTTTTGATAATGTTACAGCTGGTTCATGAGGTAGAAGCAGCAATGTTGGAAGCAGACTCCCAGTTAGCTGTTTATATGGCATATGAGACACAAGAGCTACTGGACATGTATGAATCTGTGCGTACAGCTACAAACACTGACGGTGCAACATCAGCTGCAGCGGGTGAGTGTGTTCTTTAGTGTAATGTATTAATATGTTGAAAGGAATTATGTGCAACAAATCCAGCATACTGTATATTGCTTAGTTATATAAAAATATTTTTATAATATCTCTGTATCTTGTACTTTCATTTATTGACCTTTTCTCCCAGCCATGATGAGTTCCCTGTCTACAGACGGATACCAAATAGTTGTTGGTGGGAGCCAGTCCAAGCTCATGGCAGATATGACCATTGCTAACGTCCAAGTTAGTGTTGAAGCTTTTTATATATATATATATATATTTTTTTTTTCTCCATGTTGTAATCTAAGCAGATGTCTAGAGTTACTCAAGGAAGGTCAGGGATAGAAAAAGAATACTTTTATAACTGGATATTAGAGAATTTGAAAATGTCATCAGTTCCTGTCCCTAATTTACAAAGGTTTGGTTATGAAAATCTGAAGATATGACAAAATAAATTTTGTCTCATCATTTGATTTATGACTGAAGAAACCCAAGTTACACCGACTAGCACCAAGACAGTACGTAAAGTAATATTTAAAGGCAATAGCTTGGGTTATCCAGCCACCTAATGAAAAATATCTACAGAAGAAAAGTTATTTCTCACCTCAAGAATAAAGTAAATTGAGTGGAGTAATACAGTAGCACCTCTCCTATTTAAGTTTTTTCTAAAGAAAAAGAAAAGATGCTAAGTCAGTGCTGCCATCTTTGTTAACTTAGCACCAGGATGGCCCATTGTAGTCCAAACACTTGATAGACAATAATAACACTGTACTGTACTCAACTCTACTGCACTGTAATCTACTCTACTGCACTGTAATCTACTCTTCTGCACTGTACTCAATTCTACTGCACTGTAATCTACTCTACTGCACTGTAATCTACTCTACTGCACTGTACTCAATTCTACTGCACTGTACTCAACTCTACTGCTCTCAACTCTACTGCACTGTAATCTACTCTTCTGCACTGTACTCATCTCTACTGCACTCAACTCTACTGCACTGTACTCTACTCATTTCTACTGCACTGTAATCTACTCTACTCCATTGTACTCTATGGCACTGTACTGCACTATTCTACTCTACTGCACATTAATGATTGTCCATCAGACCAAAGCATACAGCCCAGAGAAGTACAACACACATAACAGTAACTAGATGAGCAGGTGTACTCCCACTTAATGAGTGCTGAGTTCAGCTTGCAACACAGTGATGAACCCAGTGCACAGTTAGACAGTTTGGTGGAAACCTACGGCAGCATTACCAGGAGTTTAATAAATGCCGCCACCAACCTCTATCACCGCCTGTTTTCCGCCTCAAGTAGAATCCAGTGACACTGACTCGGCCACTCTGGAGATGGGTGGTGAAGCTGAAGTTGCTTTACAAGTGTCTACAGTTGATTTTGATGGCTTTGAATTTGACTAGCTTTCACCCCCTACCTCAGACACCCATCATCTCCAGAGCTTCCCACACCTCCACTATTTGGTGGTGTATCACATAATTAACTTCCTGGGCTTTCTTAAAATATTTATTTAATAATATAGATGCAGTTTATGCGACATTTTTGCAGAAGTAAGAATGATGAATGACATTGACTGAAAAGAGAATGTTTGTTTACTTACTCTATTTGAGCTGCCATGAATTAATGGGAAATGGTCTGAAGAAAAATAACTTAGTTCAATTTGTTGAAATAGTTGATCCAGATGCCATTGGCAGCTAAAAGAAAACAGACTTGATCTGTATCAGAGATGACCTGTTGTCTCATGGGGAGTGTCCCCAACTTGTGTATCATATTTTTTTACTCATTTATTCTTCTATTTCTACTGTTGCTTAGTCTAGTTTTGAGGTATACAGTACTGTGCAGTATTTATAAATATTGAAGTGTAAATACCACAGGTATTCAAGCAGTAGTGAGATAGAGGATGACCATGGATAGATTTCAGGTGAGTGAACAATAGAGGAATGGTTGGGTGGACATGGGAAAGGTTTATGATGTGGAAAACATTTTCGGTCTGAATTACAGGATTTCTTTTGAAAAATCTTAAATATCATGTTGATTGTCAATGAAAACTGAATTATGATATAAGCCAATAATTTGTCTCACTTAAAAGAGAATCACTTTAAACCATTTTGTTTTAAGTACTGTACAGTATTGACCTGTGGGAGAACAATAGTGTAGTACTGTACTATAGTCTCTCACTTAACCCAGGCATTGACTAGTGTCTTGTTAGGTCTTGCCTTTAATTATGAAATCTTGAGTGTATGTTTTTCCTTGTTTTAGGGGAAACTAAGTGGATATGGCGTGGAAGAACAGCTGCCAACGATAGCCATTGTGGCCCACTACGACGCCTTCGGTGCTGCTCCAGTAAGACTTATTTATCTTGTTAATGTATTAGTGTAGTGAGATATGCTACCAAATTACAGTACAGTAGTAATTTTGAAGTGGTCAGTTCAACATAATCCTTGGGGAAAAACTTTGAGATGAGAGGTTGGCTCTTTAAGTTAAGAAGTGAAGAAGGGCTTAGAAGCCTCTGCATCAAGTAAGGAATGATGAAGGAAAGGAAGAGAACTATACATGGATTTTAAAATGAAAGTAGAAAGGATATTGTATCTCATGGGATCTTGTCTGAAGGGTTGTTGGTCTCGAGACTCAAGTTCGTGTGGCTCAACTATATAACTACAGAAGATCAAGTCATCTTCCTGTACAGTGTGACCCCCTGAACCACCCTTATGCTTGGGTCTCGCACTAGCTGACCCACCCAACATCTCGCAGTAGTTTGGCATCTTCATCATTTGTCCGTGCTCTTTTGAGAAAAAATAAAAATAAAAATCATTACAATACTGTAATCTAATGTGGCATGGAAATAAAGAAAATTTAATATAAAACAATAAAATAACAAAAATGGAGACCTTTGGTGTGTACATGTATGGAGTCAGTTAGCTGTAACTGTGCCACCGACTCGCCACCCAGCTGCGTTCTCTCTCCCCTGTGTGACGTCATGACATACACACTATGCAGTGCAGCAGCAGCCTCGTACATCTCTGAGTCAGCTGGGTGACTGCCCGGCTAAACTGTGTTGCTTCAACCAGTGGACAGTTTCAGTGTTTGTACATTTAAAGTGTTTTATGATACTGTTTGTTAAATTATTGCTAAGGCATCCTTCTCTCTATTGCACAGGTTCTGTGAACATATCCCAGGTATTTGTCATAAATTTATTCTTTATTGGTGAATTTTTCTGCAATCTTGGTCTCTACGAGGAAAATTAATGGCAGTTTCGTGGCGGTGAGAGTGAGAGAGAAAAAAGGGCATACTGTACTGAGAGAACTTTTGAAGAAAAGGTCAAAATATTGGATTTACTAAAGAGTGATGTAACAAACTCTGAAATTATGCATCAGTTACATAAGGAATAAAAAAGAGGTTATATGTATATATACAGTACAGGGGGAACCCAAATAATGGAGAGTTTGCATTTACACAGAGAACTCAGGAACATAACCCTCACATAATCTGTAAATAGAATGAAATGATTTGGTGTTCTCACGAGCACTTTGTGACAGTCACCTTGTATAGTGTATTGGTAATGTACTATTGAAGAAGCAATTACCCTTCTAGGCACAGCAGGATCATTTAGCTCAGAAAGAAAAGGTTCCCTAACAAAATGGTCATCACCATGTAAGGTAAGAGTCACCCACATATACCTACGCATAGCCTTTGCATTCTTATGGAAATTCAGTTTCTTCCCCCATCAGAAAACGGGATCTCGCACAGAAAAATTTTGAGTGAATAACCGTTGTGACCTGATTTAGTAAAGGAGGGATGGAAGCTGGAGCATTTGCTTTGTACTTGATCATAAATGGAATTTCAGGATTTATTGCCCCACAGCTGCTGTAAGGTAATGTATTTATGACTGAGTTAACCAAATGAAATCTGGTACATAAAAATAGTCTGCAATAGGCTGCAAAAGAGTTGATAATACATAAGGAATGTTTCCATGTGTTATGCACATAGCAACTCTTCATTTAAAAAGGAAATTAGAAAGTTTAATTTGACAACTCTTGTTTTCATTCAAGACAAGAGTTGTCATTAGCAATAAAAGGACAGGAAGTATTGCTGCCACTTACCCAGCAGTGTTTAGGTAGTGCTGTTGTTCAGTTTCTTTGTCAACATTTGTAACCCCATGATGTAGTCAGTGTGTTTTGTATAAAATGTCTATAGTACAGTAAGTTTTATACATACAGTAAGAATTTGTCTTAAAATATTTTATATTTTTAGTTACAAGTACCATATGTGACTGCTTGAAGAGTATTTTAAAGTTTAATTTTGCATTTGTGACAGGAACTATCATGGGGAGCAGACAGCAATGGTTCTGGCGTAGTGATACTGCTGGAGTTGGCTCGCATCTTCTCCCGCCTCTATGCTTCTCCACGAACGCACCCTCGCCTCAACCTGGCCTTCCTGCTCTCTGGAGGTGGCTACATCAACTACCAGGTCAGGTTATACATTTTTTTTAGTAAACAAATTATTTTCATGCTAAAAAGTTGTGAACTTCGTTACCCCTATTTTGCTATAAACTTGTTTATTAATGGCTGTCTTGCTTAAGTCAGGGATGACTGTCTTATTTAAGTCAGGGATTGCAGATTAAACAGGACTTAAGGTAATTAAACTCATTCCTGTACATTTACAACTTACTTGATTTTTTGTGTCAGTTTTTTCTTTTCTAGATATCCACACCATTTTTGCAAACCTTTGTTGGTTCTCTGTCCAACACATCAATCATTCAGAGTACCATCCTTATGTCTGAGTGTTGGTGACCACAGTCCTCCACTCTAAACGTTCTCAGGCTGATTTTACCAAGCTTCCAAGATTTTGTATCTCTCTGGGGACCCAGTTTTTAATTTAATCATCCATCCCCATCTCTGCCTTCCCCTGGCCCTCCCACCCTCAACTTTGTCCATTAATATTTCTGTTATTATCCCTCTTCCCTAGTTATATGACCAAAGTATCTCATTTTTCTGTACATTTCAAGTATTACTCTTGAAGTTTTTGCTAATTGTATTACTTCTTCCTTTGTTTTCCCATGATTATTGTGAAAGGAAACTTTTCTATTGAGAAAAACTTAAATAAATGACAATAGTAACATATGAAGACTAATATAATATTTTTGTCTTTTCAGGGATCAAAGAGGTTTTTAGAAGATCATCTAGATGCTTCTGATTCTCCCCTGCTCTCTGAAACTCACTACACACTGTGTTTGGACACACTAGGCAGTGATAATGCACTGAGGCTTCATGTATCCAAGCGACCCAAGGAAAACTCCCCTGGCTACTACTTTTTCCAGGTAAAAAAAGTCATAAGTTATTTTTTCTCTACCCATTTATCTGTGAGACATAGATTCATATACAGGTCCAACCTCTCTAATTCAGTAGCCTCGGGACCAGTGAGGTGCCGGACCACGGGAGTTTGCCCCCGAGAATCCCATCCATAAACACCCCCCTAACAGGGCTCCTAGGGTTGCCAAATCTCATTATAACATTAATATAGGTAGTCAATGCTTAACATGAGAGATGGGCTCCTAAAATATCTCCTGCTGTGGTAATTTGTGTTAAATCCCAAAATGGCATTGAAAGTCTTGTAAAATATGGGAGAGGCGTTGGCAGGAAGAGTGACTACAGGACTGCAGCCCCAAAACATACACTAAAAACTTCCTTAACTGTTCTCTTTTGGACACTGATAACATTACTACTGTATTTCAAAACACCTGTTTTTATGTTGAGTAAATAATTGTTTTTAATGGGGTGGTTGAGGGTTTTAGAATTGGTTAAAATAAAAATATTATGAAACAACACTTGTTCACTAAATAATGTAGCTGCTGTACTGTAGTGGTCTAATCAGATTTGCTGTAGACATGATGAGAGCGACTAAGTACAAGAGGGAAGATACTGTACAGTACAGTATATATGGTGGCTGTGAACCAGGTCTTGACGTATTTGCCAGGTTTTTTGTGTTGATTCCGTATTATATTCTCATATGATCAGCCTTTTATGATGTGTGAGTCATGGTTAATATCAAATCTTCAATACAGTAAGTCTTCGCTAACGTCGTGGTTCCATTCCTGAAAACCGTAACATAACAAAATCAATTTTCCCCATAAGAAATAGATCAAATATGGAAGTTACATTTCCAGCATCCTTCCTTTTGCCCCATAAAATACATTACAAATACATAAATACAATGGAATTTTTATAGAAAATAGTATATATTATACATCCCAAAAGATAAATAAACTAATTCATTTTGTATTGTACTCACTGATGGGCGGAGGAGGAGCGCATGTGTGGTAGGTAAGGGAGAGGAGGAGGGTGGCGAGTCACTCAAACCCCGAGGGTGGCTCCTCCTCCTGCTCTGACTGGGTGATAGAGGGTGATGCACCATACAAAGTAGTCCGTGACGACGTTACACCGAATCGGCGGGACGTTGTCTGTATCATGGGGATCTAAAGAGTAGCGACGTTATAACGAAACAACGTTGTCGGGGCAATGTTAAATGAGGACTTGCTGTAGTAGAAAAAATGCTTGTAATTTGACTTGAAAATAAAAGGATAAACTGTATCTGAAGGTATTCACCCAGGATGTGTTCCTGGAGAGAGAATATTCAACAAATCAACTTACAACAGGATCACTGTAACATGCTTTATAGTGTTTGATATGGTGTTACCTACTAACAATGTTATTTATTACCACTGAGTGATAATGATGACTACTTGTACAAACACTAGATAACAGATTAGTGAATAAATCGGTGAATATGCAAACACATAATATACTATCTTTCTCTCTCATACATTAATGGATATGTACACTCAGGCGCCATAGTTTCGATGCACCCTCTACCACTACTCCTGGCTCGAGGGAAATCGTAGTCAGGGCAGCAAACCGAACGGTCCCTCTTGTGGAGTAATGTTAAGTATAGTGATGGTAAATAAAGTGTTGAGAAGTCACTAAAAAAACTGTATCGTGCATATATTCTCTCAGATATTACAACATGAACTGCTATTTCTACACAATACAGTGAAGCTTCGAGCTACCACATTGCACCACTGTACGATGGGGGGCGTTCGGTATGAAGCCAAGACTATGATTTCCATTGAGTCAGGGGTATAGGGTGCATTGAAACTATGGCGTTTGAGTGTACTTGCATTGCTATTCACATAGACAGATGCTTGTGCATACAAAGTTGCAAATTCATTCATTCCAGTTGTATGTTTTCTTACATTTAGGCATTGGAAGAGGCAGGAGCAGCAGCAGGAGTTACTGTGGAGATGGTCCACCGCAAGATCAATCTCCAGGAAGACACACAGGCTTGGGAACATGAGAAGTACAGTATGCGCAGACTCCCAGCCTTCACACTCTCCAGGCTCCCAGTAACTACTATTTTACCTCATTGTTGCCAGCAGCTAAGCTTACTAATTATTATCATGTATTGTCACCTACAGCCAAGATCAGTTTTATGCAGTTGGTAAAAAATTCTTGAAACGACATAATTGTGCATCATTGTTACGATCTCTCCATCCTATTTAATTCATCATCATAGTTATACAGCCATTTTACACACTTGTATGGGTAAATCACAGTTACCTGATGGCAGCTCTCCACACTGCAGTCTCTCTTGTCAGGTTCTTAAGCCAAATGTAATTTCTTACAAACTCTCCCCCATGTCATTCTTGGCTCTCCTCCCCTCCACATTTAGGCTCATAAATGTTGAACAACTACCGTATTTGCTGGCCTATAAGGTGCATGGCCGTATAAAGCACATCCCTATTTATGAGAAAATTTTGTTGGAAAAAAGAATTTAGTACAATTCATCAAATATGTATTCAAAGTGATTTTAAAGTGTTTTTTAAAGGGAAAGCATCAGATTTTCTGCATGTACTGGTAAATACAGGAATACCTGTATGAATGCAGGCAACCCATTGTACAATCTGGGTGCTTGTATAGGAAAAGGATTGTGCAGTAAAAGAACATTCCTATACTGGTCCAGGCCTCTCAAGGTGTGAAGGATCATCACTACTACACCAAATCATTTCAGAATGTGTAGTCAGTGGAATTAGTAGTTTGGCCAAATACTTAGGCTCACCAAACATAGTGTAAGAATTTTTATTTTTATATTATATAACCGTATAGCTTTTTATACCAACAGGAAAGCCTCCGATAACGACGATTCATATTTAAGACCCTGGTTAATTTAGGACCCAATTCAATTTACACCATTACATTTTTCGTATTACGACAATAATATTATAAGAAATAAAGAAAAATTACATTTAAATATAAATAATAATTAAATCCCAATATGTATTACTGTATAAAAAAAACACACCTTGTGCACGGAGGCTGCCGGGCTTGTGAGTGGTGACGCCAGGATAAACAGTCACAGCTGGCGGGCCTTTTGTTTTCACGCATTTGAACAGGAAAATGAAAAAAACTTTCTCAGGTTTTTTACGGCATTTTTTAGCCCCTATTCAACATAGCAGGAGAGCACGTGATGGGAGTGCTGGTTCAAGGGCTAAAAGAAAGTGTATCAGCTTAGCCGAGAAACTAGATGCGTTAAAACGATATGAAAAAGGTGAGAGGCCTGTGGATATTATATGGTGCAAGCAATGAACATATCTGAAGTGGATCGATTAACAGAAAGAAATATTAAAATTAACAGGGACGTGAAAAATGCAAATGACCTCTACATAAAGATGTATTGTATAATTAATGAGAAAAGAAAGCAGCTGTGCAAGGTTCTTTCAACAGCTTTATTATTCCAAGGCCTAAACTGTCAACAACTTCAGCTACACCATCAAATTCAATATCATAAGCAGCTTTAGCAAAAACTTGAGGTTCAGTAACAGTTTCAGCAACAGATATGATATCTTTATGGAAAGCTTCAGCATCAGCCAGAGTTGAACCTGCAGCTTCAGCCAGAGTTGAACCTGATGACTTCGTCATCTGAGTTAAAATTCACACAACATTCATTGGCTGTCCTTATATTTTAGACTTTACCACCATTTGTGAGTAGAATTTTTTATTTACATTAGTAAGTATTATTTAAAACTCATATGGACAGTAATAAGTGTTGCTTTCATATTCTTATGTTGAGAAATGACGGTTTTCACATATACGCACTTACATATGATGGCGTTCCCAATCTATTTCGTGGTTAGCTACTTCTATTGTTCCATTTATTAACATTAATAACATTACTTAAAACATACATATTAATTTTTTTACATTAATTTTACTACAGCCTCAACCAGGGTCTTATTTTCTTCAGTTTCTTACGTAGAACCTTCGTCACTCACGAAAACAATGCCGTCTCGTCTCCTCTTGTGTGTTTTAATATTCTACATAATATTAATGAATTGTATTGTTCATTCCACATATATAAACATTAATTCAATCAAATATATGTTCAGTAATAAACAATAATTAATCTTTTATACATATTCTTCATGAGATAATTGATGCGGTTTCCTGAGTGTGGAAGTATACATTTCTGTTCCACAATCACTCTTTTTTTCTTTACCATCAGTGGCTACTTCTACTATACAATAAATAACATTAATTAAAAACTTACATTTATTTTTTCTACATTAACATTAGTACAGCAACAACCAGGGTCTTATTTTCTTCAGTCTCAGATGGATAACTGACATTATGGGTGTAAACTCTGACAACAATGGCGTCCCCTCTCCTCTTGTGTGACCATATTATTATTATCATCATTATTGATTTACATTGTATAAGGTTCATTCATAAAGTATTTAATGAATATATAGTTGCATTTTTCATTAATTGTATTGTTTTTGGGGAAAAAAGGGTAAAAATGCCTCACAAAAGATATGAAAAAGTCACACTGGGGAATGCATCTCATTTTTATTATTGCTTTGTGTTAATGGTAATTAACGATTCACGATAAGATAATTCACCTTACACTGCAATAGTGGAGGACACACTGCTGTCGTTATTCGAGGCTTTACTGTACAGTAATATCTCCATTAGCCAGAATCCGTCAAACCCTGAACTCTCCGATAGCTGGAATTGAAAAAAAATTCTGGTTTTAGGAACAAATTTTCCGAGGTTGAGCGGAGGAATAGTGGTCTCATTTTACTGACCTTCTGATGGAATGTCAGGTCACTCTTTCTTGGGTGGGGGATTAGTGGGTCTCATGACCTGAAGATGTCTTGAATAAACACAAAAACTAAAGTATTTTGGGGGAGATTGTTATAAGTATAAATGAGAAAGGTTGTATCCGTTCAACATTATATGACATAACATTTTAAAATATGGAGTGAGAAAGCAGAAAAGTGTGGGTGATTAGAGAGATGGAGTGGTAACATGCACCAGTGTTGCCAAGTGATAAGCTCCTCAACAGAAGATCTTTTAATTCGCCTCCAGGCAGTCACACAACAAGACCCTCACTGGATGCTTGTTGTCTTAATTCCCGTGTGTGTGCGTTTTGAGCTTGCCAAGCACATTGTAGGATTTGAAGAAGTTGATGAAGAGTTTGTTCAGGAGTCAGGTGGTGAGGTGACATGCCAAGACACTTACACAACACACACATCAACAGCACTACTAAACCATTGTGTTATAACATTTTACATTATAATTTCTATCTTAAAATTAATTGATACATGATGGCTCGACAGGACTACTTTTGCATTTAGACAACTGATCAATGAATAAACCTGGGCATATGGAGACTCATTATACATTAGTCATGTCACAAAGCTTTGAAACCGCAACCACATAAATTATCACAACCTGTACTTGCCAACAGTGCATAACAGAGATGTAACCGATCGCCCAAGTGGCTAACGAGCCGATCAGTGGTGAAGAGGGTAAAAGTAAAAGTACTCAAATGTACTAAGTTAATTATTAATATTAATATATCTTACAAGAATTCCAGCAATGCAAGTTATATTCTTGTAAGTCAAGTCAATGACATTTTATAAGGTTAATCTCTCATTGTGAACTAGTAAGAGGTTGAAGGATCCATTGGGGGTAAAAGTGACTGCACCACCCCCCTCCCTCCCTCACTGTTTGTCTAAAGTACTGACTCATTCATGATATGTACAGTACTATAATAATTATTTGTTTTTCATTAATTAGTACAGATACGTTACTGTAATAATCTGTGCTTATTAATACATGTAGTACCCTTCATATACATTACAGTATAGTACTATGTGTATACCTCATAGGTAAAAAAATAATGTCATTCAAGGCATATTCAGGTCATAAGACCCACTTATCCCCCACCCAACACTGGGTGACCTGACATTGGATCAGGTCAGGTTAGTAACGTGACCCGACAGTATAATCTCCCAGCCAACCTTCATCACAAGTGTTAAGACATGATTAGCTATGTATTACAGTCAATTGAGTGAAGCGTCTGCCTATTCTAGGCTAAAGATGACAGGATCTCCTGGAGTACAATATATACAGTACACAAGAACACTTGCCAACAGTGTGTAACAGACATGACCGATCGCCCAAGTGACTAAGGAGCCAATCAGTGGTGAAGAGGATAAAAGTATCACAGCTTTTTTCACGCCCGTATCGTATAGGGCTTTTGTGTTTTTTAAATATATTTATTTAAACAAACTTTTAGATAAAGTATACAGGATTATTTTGATAAAAAATGGTGTGTAACGAAATTAGAACTGATTTTACTGACTCCGGTATCAACATTTCTTACGTTTTTTTTTTTAAAAGAGAATGGAATTTCCATCACTGTATCAGATAGAAATATTTCGTTCAAGGATATCTTATTGGAAAAGTTTCGTAGAGAATTTATTAAGGATCATTATGATATCGAATTCATCTCCCTATCACAATTAGCCACACTTGAGTGAGGAGGGGGGGGGTGGGGATGACCGTGCAGCCTCCCCCCACCCCCCTCACTCCCCAAAAAGGTTGACTCCCACACTCTTCAGCCAAACATTACACACACACACACACACCACACACACCACACACACACCACACACACCACACACACACCAAACAATGGAATTAAGAGGGCAGACATAAGGAGTGAAGGTCTTATTGTGTGACAAATTTGCATGTGTGTGACTGTGAGTTAAATATTAGCTGTTGAGGAGTGCTTGGCAACACTCATTTCCACTCCATCTCTCCAATCACCCACACCTTTCTGCTTTCTCACTCCATATTTTAAAATGTTAAATAATGTAATGTTGAAGGGATACAACTTTGATCATTTATACTTATCACAATCTCTCTAAAAATACTTTAGGTTTCGTGTATATTCAAGACATCTTCAGGTCATGAGACCCACTAATCTCCCGGCCAAGAAAGGGTGACCTGACCTTCCATCAGAAGTCAGGGCAGGTACAGGAGACCCACTAATCCCCCACAGCCCCATGGGAGTGGAAAGTACTAGTCTTTGCTATAACACACAACTTCATTCATGCCCATATCATAAAGATTTTTAATTTTCAAATATATTTATTTTACCAAACATTTAGATAAACTATTCTGGATTTTTATAATAAAGAAATGGAGTTTCTAACTTAATTAGAACTGCATTTACGGATTCAGGTAGTTTAGACTCGAGGAAAACATCCCCAGCACCCAGAGACATTCTGGGGAAGTGGGCTAGTGTCTGTGTGTGCAAGATGTCTAGTTTAGACACTAGGAAACTTTGACCAGTACCGGGTAACCGGAAAAGATTCCGGGGATAAGGAATTTTTCCGGGTTTGAGAAAGTCATCTGGTTACCTGGAAATCTCTCATCCCCGGAAGTGCTCTGCACCAATTGTTCCGGCTAATGGGGATGAGCTTCATTGTCTTCTAGCAACTCTTGTTCACTTTCAGGGACCCAAGACTGGGGAACGTGGAAGTGTTTTGGACACACCAGAGAATGTAGACATAACTGCTTTGACTCGTAACACAGCATTGGTAGCTACGGCACTTCTTCGTCATATCTACAATACATCTGTAGATGGTATCTTTGATAATGGTTTGGTAAGTAGATTGAATGCTAGTTATTTTTTAGTGGGGAGCACAATATTGTCCTTAACACAGTTTGTTTTCTCAGACAGGATTTTGAAGATGTATTTACATGATAAATATATATATATATATATATATACACACACACACACACACACAGTTAACCCTCACTTTACGCGGTTAATGTAACCCGGAGGGTCACGCGTAAAGTGAATAACATAACATATGGGATTAATTGAAATGGAGTCCGGGCCGATCCCCAAACTCCACTTTTTGACGACACACAACTATGTTGTAGTAAAAATATTATCTTAACTTTATGATGGTATGCACACACAATTAATAATTAAGAGAAATATCAATAATATTAGGTTTTTTAACACTTACATAAGTAGAAAAAATGGCTGGGCACACGGGGATGGGCGGTTGGTTCCGAGGCAGAGGGCAGATTATTGGCCCTCACCTGTATCACTGGTATCAATTGTATCACTATCCACCACAGAGGCTTGCAGGGCCTCTTTGTCAAACTCCCCAAAGTCCATATAAGTCCATATCCTCACCATAATTATCACTATCACTGACTTGGGCCGGCTGTGGTGGGTGGCGGGTGAAGAACTGGTAATGTTTTGATGACTGGGCGACCTTGTGCGCACCATGTTCGCGCCGCTTACACAACATGGCGGATGGCGGGAGGTTTGGATCCAAAAATGGCGCGGCTCGCCAGCCGCTCTCCGCGTAAAGGGGTACACGCACCGCGGAATGTGAGCATCCTGGGTTCCGGCAGGGCACCGCGTAAACGTGGAAACGCGGAATGTGGGACCGCGTAAAGTGAGGGTTAACTATATATATATATATATATATATATATATATATATATATATATATATATATATATATATATATATATATATATATATACATATACATATACATATACATACACATACATACATACATACATACATACATTGGTCCCTTGGTTAACGAAATATCGGTTAACGAATTACCTTCCATAAGAATCTTCACTTCGGTTCACGAAAAAATTTTGGTTAACGAATTCCTTACAAATTTTTCCCGTTTTTTTGTCAGCTTTAGTAAAAGTATTAAATAATGAGGAATGGATACAGTGTGACTGAGCACTTACCTTTAATGTAGTTAGCTGAATGCACACGGGGCCCCCCATAATTTTCTAATTATACATGGAGACTACATTAACTGGAAACGTTTTGGTATAGAAAATGCTTGAGTTACTCTATTTCTGATACTTCGGTAAGCATCACCGAAAGTTATGGGTCTTTTTGCAAATTTCCTTTGAAGTTTGTGTTTTTCCTTTATCATTATCTTCATTTCGCTTGTGATATAGGGTTTGGAAATGGATACAGTTTTCACTGACTTAGTCTTGAGGGGGAAGCATTTATCAAAGCAAGCATTGAAGATGCAAGATGAGTTACAGCTGTTCATGTTAGGGTTGTTGGAGGCATAGACAAGATCCCAGTTAGCATTCATTAGGTTGTTTTCAAAAAGGAACATGTTGTAAGCGCAGTTATCTCTGTATTGAATTGAGACTCTACTAGACCTTTCAGGTTTTGTGGCTGTTTTATACATGGCAAAAACTGAGAAGTGTTCTGAGCAGGGTTGTTATGATTTAAATCAAATGATTTAAATCACATGATTTAAATCGATTTAATTCAAAATGATTTTTTTACTAATAACTGTTTTCCCTTTTTATTCTACATGATTGAAAAGTATATGCAATGCAGCAGGCTAATAACATTATTTGGATTTACATAATTATGTACTGTACTATAGTCTGTTCTCTCCAGTTTTGTGAAACTTTGATCATATTCACCCTTCCGAACAGTGGAGCACGAAGAGTTTATCAAGATGATTAAAATGCTAAGACCAGGATATGTTCCACCTAATAGACATCAAATTGGAGGGTCTCTCTTGGATCAAGCCTACGATTCAGTGATTAAGAATTATTCAGATGAACTTAGTGGGAAAACAGTTTGCATGGCCATGGATGGATGGAGTAATGTCCATAATAAGCCTATAGTATGTATATAACTTTAACAGCGGACAACTGTATTTATCTTGTTGACTCTGTAGACACAGAATCAAGACACACAGCTGAATATCTGTTTAAATTAGCTGAATGTGCTACAAAAAAGTGTGAAGACAAATTTGGATTCACAGTAAGAAGCTGTGTAGCAGATAATGCTGCTAATATGGCAAAAATGAGAAGTGAATTCGGACAAGGTAAATCCATTATAACATATGGTTGTTCTGCACACCTGTTAAATTTGCTTTCACAAGACCTGCAAATCAAGAACATTAAGGAGCACATTACTGAAATCATTAAGTACTTTAGAAATCATCACATCCCATGATCTTTGTATAGAAGAGCAGGAGGAACAATGCTAGTAATGCCATCAGACACACGATGGAACACAGTGACAGATTCTATTGAATCTTATTTAAAGAACTGGGAGACCCTTGTCAAAGTGTGCAAAGAAAATAGTGAAGACATTGATAAGAAAATTGAAAGGAAAGTTAATGATAAGGCATTAAAAAGAACTGCAGAAGACTATTTAGAGAGACTTAAGCCTATTGCTGTGGCATTGGACTGTGTCCAGAGAGAACATACCCTATTAAGTGATGCTGTAGAAATCTGGGTAAAACTGAAAACTGATATTAAGGAGTATTTAGCAGATAAGAAGGCTATGGATAATTTTGAAAAAAGAATCAAAGTAGCATCGACACCTGCCCATTTTCTAGCTAATGTGATAGATCCAAGGTATCAGGGCAGACATCTGACTCCTGAGCAGCGAGACATTGCAGAACAGTATGTGCGCGAGTCTCTTCCATATTTCCTTTCAACATTAATGTCCTTCCATGGAAGAAGTGCACCATTTAAAGAGGTCTATTTTGGTAAAGATGTTGTAAAACCTCTCACCCCATGCTTGGTGGCAGTATTTTGCCAATGATATGACAGAAAATGTAATGGATGTTCCTAGGCAATTATTTACAGCTGTTGCATCATCAGCAGGGGTTGAGAGAATTTTTTCCACATATGGATTTGTACACTCAAAGGGAAGAAATTGCCTTGGACAGGAAAAGGCATCTAAGCTTGTCACAGTACATAAGCATTTCAATGTTCAACTAAGCTAATTTAAATGTTTTGAACTATTTTTGTTGTTTACAGAATGAGAATATTGTGTTGACTTGAAGTTATTACCGGTAATTCTTAATCTACACTGTAATCCTACAAATGTAAGAAAATAAACTTGTTACCAGTATTATTTTTTTTACAAAATGAGAATATTATTGTTAACTTGAAGAAGTCAAGTTATTAATTTTTGAAACACTGTAATCCTATAAGAGCATTTATGTTAAATTTCATTATTACGTTTGGATGTGTGCACTCACATGTAAGATATGTTACCAGTTTTCTTTTATTTTACAAAAAGAATATTATTGTGTTAAATTCCATTGGTATTTCTACTGCATAAATATCTTAATGCCAGTTTTCTGCTTATTATCCTGAATAAGCTTGGTTGAAAAATACTGTTTTTATGATTTAAAAATACTATTTTAATGCAATTAGTAAAAAAATGAAAAAAAAATCGTTTTAAATAAAAAAATCTGATGTTAATCAAATAAATCGTTTTTTTTTATTTGTTTTTAAAAATCATGATTTTTTCCAACCTGGTTCTGAGATATTGTTATAAATAATTCCACTTGCAAGTTTGTTAGGAGTGTTGGTTGGGATCAACTTTTGCTCCTGACTTTACCTTATTTTAGTTAAGTGTGATGTTGACCATTTTGGTTAGACTCATTATTCAAGCTTCTGTTAAGTAACTGTACATCCAATCATATAATAATGCAACAATATGTTCTCCAGGCAGTGACCAAGAAAAGTGTAAAATCATGGCTGGATCTGTTGACATCACAGCCACGGTCTCCTCAGCTGCTGTCAGGGAAAAATAACCCATTGGTGTCCACACTTCAACAGATACTTTCAAGGTACAGAGATATTTTTATCCTTTATCTTCTTAAAAATACATTATAAATCCAAGGCTTATAGATACAGATTAACAGTGAATCAGTGCAGGTAAAGTTATGGCAAGATGCAAGTTTAATACAGGTTGAACCTCACTAGTCTGACATAGCAAGCTTGGTGCCAGACTATTGAAAATTCTGAACCACCAAAACTTAAGTAAAATAAAAAAGGAAAAGTAATCAGCTGTTTTCTCAGTCATTTGGGAGTTAGGTGAATACTGTACATTCAGGAGCTGGCTTCAACACATGAATGGGCTTATTAAACACATTTCTGAGTCCTCTCACAACAGTCTTATGCATCATTGTGCGTACGACTCTTGTGAGAGGCCTCGGAAATGTGTTTAATAAGCCCATTCATGTGTTGAAGCCAGCTCCTGAATGTACAGTATTCACCTAACTCCCAAATGACTGAGAAAACAGCTGTATGTGTAGACTGTATCGTACTGATGCAACTTAGGTAAGTATACACCTAACCCAGGCTTATTGGACCACATTATAACAGTGCAGTATTAGTGCCCTGGCACAATAATTTTATGCAACTGTGACACTGAAATAAGTACCAGGTAGGTAAGGAGATGAATATAGAAGCACCAACCACTACAAGTGAGCTGTGGCAGTTATAAACAATGTTGTTGATTATTGGGAGCTACAGTGGCACCGTACTGGACAGCTGGCCAAGCAACAGTTTCACAAACTAAAACCAAGGCCAACAGATACAAATTGTGCTGAACTATTGGATCCCGAACTACTGAGGTTTAACTTGTATAGTAAATTAAAAAAAATATATTAATTAGTTGTCAATCACTGATTGGTATTCCAAAGGAAAATTAAACCAGGTTGTGCAGATTATAGGAAATATTTTCTTGTTCCAGGCAAGTGATTTATGAAATTTATTTACCTTCACCAATTTTGGAGGGCATTTTCTTATGCAGTTCTTATTTATGGGAAAGTTAAATAAATTTTTTAAAACCTTTATATATTGTGTCGATCAACTCTCAGATCACATGTGTCCTTCTAAATGTCTTTTACTCTCACCTGGTCAAATGCTTCTTTTTCATGTCGATGTTTTCACTTACTAATTTGTAGCGTAACTCTGTATAAACAAGAATCAGTGGCAGCTTTTACAGACTCTCAGGAGAGATCATTGTGAGAATACACCAACAGAAATAAGAGGGATCAGCTCAGCTGTGATATAGCATTAGGTTAACCCTTTAGTGGGCAGGAGCTCCCTTCAGCTGAATAAAATTGCCTGGCATTAGCCAGAATAAAATACCTAAGGGATACTCTGGCCCCTAAAGGGTTAAGCACACACGGCTTCCCCTGCCGTCACCTCATTGGTTAAACAGCACTTGACAAAGTCCTGTCGGGTATTTTCATTAATTATTTAAATGTCTTCCAGACAACTGCCGGGCGCACACAATTGAAAAATTACTTGTCCGGGCACCTAAGATAAATACAAACTAGTCATTGTTTTTAGCTAATTTTAAGGCTACAATATAAAAAGAATATACTGTATATTAATTGACTTGAAAATCTATATTCAAACCTGACAATGCAATTATGGTACAGTAACTTATTTTTTTTTCTTTTTTTTTATAAACTACTGTACATGTTGTGGGCTTAATGTATTATTATTATTTTTATTTATTTATTATTATTATTATTATTATTATTATTATTATTATTATTATTATTATTATGTATTATTATTATTATAACATGTTGTGTACATCATGTGTTTGTATTGAAAATAGTATTTTATGAAATACATGTACAGGTATATTCATAGTTTTTCATTTTTTTTTTTTTTTTTATGGGGATTAGCCCACCCGGACACAGGTCACTGACCCACATTAAATCTCCTGTACTAGTATAAGCACTTCATTCCCTTCCATAACATACAGTATAATAAATTACATAACTTACACAAATGAATCAGTCACATGAACACACATATACATACATGAGGTCCCCCATAACATTATCTGTGAGGGAGTTACTACACCATGTGAGGTCCCCCATAACACCATCTGTGAGGGAGTTAATACACCATGTGTTTGCTGTTCAACACTCAGCCCATGTGACCTTCGTGACCTCCACTGTGAATATTAATATGTACAGTATGTTCGCTGTATGTTCCTTTACCTTCCTCTAATGAAAGCTTCTGTTACAATCCCCCCCCCCCTAATGTCAGTGTATGTAATAAGTCATGTATGTCCAATGTATATTTTCAGCCTTCAGGCTGCAGAACTTTTTTCAATAAACTGTTACTTTTTAATAATAATAATATTATTATTAATGTGGTATCTGGGGGTCATCTTTATACGTCAAGGATGTGTTCCACAGAAAATTTACTTACCATGAAACTTTTTATAATAAGTAATTTTTTCCTATAAAAGTTAATATAAATAGAGGTATAGTTATATCTTTGTTAGCCGGAATTCTCCAATACCCAGATTTTGAATTGGCTGAGAATTTTCCTGGAAAAGTTCTCTAATTTCTGGTCTGGGAATGAGTTTCCAAGATTGAAAATCAGGTGCATTTTTTTGAAAATTCTGAGAAAAATTCCAGTAACTCCATATTTTTCGTCATTTGGGAACATATTCCCATTACTCGGAAAAATTCTGGGGATGTGGAATTTTTCCGTGTTTCAGAGAGTCGTCTCAATTAGTGGTAGTAGGTAGTAGGCAGCTACCAGGCAGGGATGTACTACCGCATGGGAAGATATTGGAAGCATAATGTGTTGTCTAATGGTAGACCCTGCTGCCATATGGCATCACAAAAATTGTGACCAAGTCCCAGGTTACTGATCTGATTTTTTTGTCTCATTTACACACAATTGCAGGGTCTCAATTGTTTCTCTTACATTGACAACACAACAAACATATATTGTTTCTCACTATTGATATTTGTTTTTATTTTTATTTTTCAATTATGGCTCCTTACTATTACCATACTATTATTATTATTATTTATGTTAAGTTTTATTAATTTTATTATTATTATTATTATTATTATTATTATTATTATTATTATTATTATTTTATTCTATTTTTGCCCCCAGGCCTTGATGTGGGTCGTAAAATGACCTGTGCCCGGGTGGGCTAATGCCCGTAAAAAAAACGGAAATCTCTCATGTCCAGAAGAGCTCTGCACCAATTATTCCGGCTAATGGGGATATCGCTGTAATCTTGATTTATTTAGGGATTGTTTTCAAATAAAATGCCTAACAGTGGTTTTTCTGGCAGATACACCAATGAGGCACGAGTCACCTTCCTGAAAGCTGATAAGAGGGACCCTGAGTGGGCATTCTATGATGTCACCCGGGCCACTATGGCTGCCTATGCTGTCAAACCTGCTGCGTTTGATTTTCTACTCACAATGGCTATCTTAGCATACCTGGGTGTTATTTATGTGTTTCTTCAGGTAAGTACAATTCTTCATACAGTTTTCAGTAAATATTCTTTTTCTATTATTAAATAGAAAAGTAAAATGTGAGTTGGAATAAATTCAGCGCAAGAAATGAAGATATTTGTAGCATATGTGAGTTAATAATGTGTCTGGGATGACATGGACCTCAAGTGAATGACTGACAACATTAGGTGAGTAAAATCTATAACAGCTTGATTGAAGACTTAAGGGTTAGAATAGAAACAAGAATGAATTGGTCAGACCATATTGGTTAACTACAGTACTTAGGGTTAAATTAAAGGTGACAAGTTTGATCAGGGGTTCTCAACATTTGTCTTCTTCTGCAGCACTTGAGTATTTTCAGCATTGGTCATGTACCTCCGACCCCAGAGTGTGATTTATTTAATTTTGAGGAACTGGTCTTATTGGAGATAATTCCCCTGTCCACAGTTACTGGAGTACACAAATATTTATATGTATGATTAATCTTGTTTCTTTCTATGTAACATACAATTCATTAGACTACTCCACTGTTCTTAAACTTTATATCCATAGTTACTATACTGTACCACACTTATCATCAACAATATTCACTAGACACTGTCAAACAATTTTGATACTGCATATCTATTGAAAATTTATGATACAGTTATTAATTTTCATGGCCAGCCATACAGTAAAGCCTCAGATAACGACGGTAATGTGTCCTCCAGTATTGCGATGTAAGGTGAATCATCGTATCGTGAATCATTAATTACCATTAAAACAAAGAAACAATAATGAGATGTGTTCCCTAGTGTGACCTTTTCATATCTTTTGTGTGGCATTTTTATCCTCTTTTCCCCCAAAACAATACAGTTAATGAAAAATGCAAACTAAATTCTTTAAATAATGTTTATGAATGCACCTTATACAGTGTAAATCAATAATAATAATAATATGGTCACACAAGAGGAGAGGGGACGCCATTGTTGTCAGAGTTTACACCCATAATGTCAGTTATCCATCTGAGACTGAAGAAAATAAGACCCTGGTTGTTGCTGTACTAATGTTAATGTAGAAAAAATAAATGTAAGTTTTTAATTAATGTTATTTATTGTATAGTAGAAGTAGCCACTGATGGTAAAGAAAAAAAGAGTGATAGTGGAACAGAAATGTATACTTCCACACTCAGGAAACCGCGTCATTTATCTCATTAAGAATAAGTATAAAAGATTAATTATTGTCTATTACTGAACATGTATTTGATTGAATTAATGTTTATATATGTGGAATGAACAATACAATTCATTAATATTATGTAGAATATTAAAACACACAAGAGGAGACGAGACGGCATTGTTTTCGTGAGTGACGAAGGTTCTACGTAAGAAACTGAAGAAAATAAGACCCTGGTTGAGGCTGTAGTAAAATTAATGTAAAAAAATTAATTTGTATGTTCTAAGTAATGTTATTAATGTTAATAAATGGAACAATAGAAATAGCTAACCACTAATGGTAAAGAAAAAACGAAATAGATTGGGAACGCCATCATATGTAAGTGCGTATATGTGAAAACATCGTCATTTCTCTACATAAGAATATGAAAGCAACACTTATTACTGTCCATCGTCATTTCTCTACATAAGAATATGAAAGCAACACTTATTACTGTCCATATGAGTTTTAAATAATACTTACTAATGTAAATAAAAAATTCTACTCACAAATGGTGGTAAAGTCTAAAATATAAGGACAGCCAATGAATGTTGTGTGAATTTTAACTCCGATGACGAAGTCATCAGGTTCAACTCTGGCTGATGCTGAAGCTTTCCATAAAGATATCATAGCTGTTGTTGAACCTGAAGCTGTTAATGAACCTGTAGTTGTTGCTGAAGCTGATGCTGAAGTTGGTGGTTTAGGCATTTGAATGATAAAGCTGTCTAAAGAACCTTTCAAAACTGCTTTATTTTTCTCATACATCTTTATGTAGAGGTCATTTATGTTTTTCACGTCCCTGTTAATTTTAATGCTTCATTCTGTTAATAGATCCACTTCAGATATGTTCATTGCTTGCGCCATATAATATCCACAGGCCTCACACCTTTTTCATATCGTTTTAACGCATCTAGTTTCTCGGCTAAGCTGATACACTTTCTTTTAGCTTTTGAACCTGCACTCCCATCACTGAGAAAGTTTTTCTCCTTTTCCTGTTCAATTGTGTGAAAACAAAAGGCCCGCCAGCTACCGCTGTTTATGCTGGAGTCACCGCTCACAAGCTCGGCAGCCTCCGTGCGCAAGGCATATTTATTTTTTTTATATATACATATCGGGATTTGTTATTATATATATGAAAATGTAATTTTATTTTATCTTTCATTGTATTTTTATCGCAAATATGAAGAAAATAAAGGCGTAAATTGAATTGGGTCCTAAATTAACCAGGGTCTTAAATGTGAATCTTCCTTAGTAGAACCGTCATTATCGGAGGCTTTCCTGTACAGTACAAGTATTCTCTCTTTGATTGACCACTAGTAAAATTTTGTGATTTCAAAGTTCAACTTTGTGAATTCTGTCAGAGAATACAGGGGGCATATTTATATTGTACTGTATAATGTGACTGAATATGTGCTTTGTTCAAACAACTACATGTGAATGCTAAGGTACTCAATTTAAATGAGTCCCCACTTGAAGTGAAAGTAGGGGGTCTCTTTTGAGCCCCTTCTATGTGTCATGGTGCTGGAGGTAATATAACAGGACTTTAGGACTGGCTTGCCCTGGGAGTTGTTGTAGACTTAGTGCCTATAGCAGATAGTATTGAAGAGGCAGTGGAGAAATTTAAGAGATGAAAGGATGGAATAGAGTGAAATAGCATTAAAGTGAATGTGGATAAAACCAAAGTATTGATTAGTGGTGTGGGTGGAGGAACTTTGGGGAGTTGCAGCCTTTATTAAGTACAAGAGGACCTTCCCTTTATGTGACAGTTATAATGTATGCAGCTGGTGTGAGAAGTGTGAAGTTGTATGACAGTGTAACATGGGTAGTTAGAGAGGTCTGAGCAAGGTGAGGTGGATGTGTAACCTGGAATGCATCCTTACAGAATACATATGATGTCTCTTTATGCAAAATTGTTTTCACCATTATCACCATTATTGTCATCATCATTTCAGCCATTTTCCATGTTTGTATGTGTTTAATTTTCCATGCTTGCTTGTGTTAGCTGTGATTGTGTGATGGCAGCTCTCAAAACTGCATATTGTCTTGTTGCTTCACTCTTTGGTTTCTTATCTCTGAGGCTATTTTTCACAACCTGTTCTCATGTTATTCTTGAAGATTCTCTTTGGTCTCCTCCATTCTCTCCATATGCCTTACAATATCAGCCTCTAGGTGAATTTTTTTTAGTCCTCTCAATACCCAGCTACCCTCTTAACAATGAATAGGGTTTCTTGTCTCTAAACATGACATTACACATCCATCTTACTAGTGTCATTTCAACTTTCTCAAGCCTACATATGTCATCCTCTTAAACTACCCATGTTTCATTGCCATACATCACTCTTGTCTTGCCAGTTGCATAATTATTTCCATTAAAGTAAAGGGTTCTCATTAAAGGCAACAGCTCCCTCAACTTGTGACTCTTGTAACTGAGATAAGTTTGGCACCACCTCCTGCACTGATCATGTCACCCTGGTAGCAGATCTTATTGACAATCCTGGGAAAGATATACTACCTGCACATACAACATGCTTAAAGTCAACAACATCCTGCAGTCTGCCATTAAACCACTGCATAAAGTGACAGTGCTGAACACCTTTTATGTTCACTATAAATGTATTTTATTTATATATTTTTAATGCCTTTTTTTTTTTTTTTTTTTGAGAGAGAGAGAGAGAGGTTAGTGTTATTACTTATGTAGTTTCCTCTCTTGTGTTTCAGTATTTCCCCAAGATCTATGCCATGATGGTCAAACTTGCTTCTCCTCACAAGTCAAAGGTTCACTAAGCTCCTCAAGATGTATAATGTATCTGTGTAATATATTCAAAATAGCTTGAACTAGCCTTGAAATTCAATCAGTATTTTGTACAATGTCCTAGTGTTATCTGCTGTTTTCAGGACAGTTAACTGTAAGTGTAATTGCCTATTTCTCACATTCTTGCCCAGAATGTCCTTGTGGCTGTCATAGAGTACAATGTTTTCACTTGATAAAGTCATCTTTGGCAGTGCCTGTGATTAGACACTGACCATAGTCACCTTCTTAACTAATGTTCATACAAGTTACATGTTCTCCCTTGAATGGCCTGAGTATGTAAAATACTCTATAGGATCCTTATAATGTACTGTATAAGTGGTGTTGACCAATAGGAAAACATATTGTTATACAGAACAGTACTGCCGTTTATAACCAACAGTGATAAATTTTGTAAGACTAGACAAATATGAGGCTCATCTGTGAACTAACAAACCCATAGGAGACAGGTAAGTGTAGTACAGTTATTTACTTACATTGGTAAACTTGGCTATTATAAATTATTTTCATTTCTGTTCCACCTTGTAAGTTAAGGGAATGCAATTGAAGAGATTGAGTTTATTGAAGAGAAAACTAATGAATAGTTATTACATCTTGTTAGCCAAAGGGCTTAGAAGCCATTTTGTGGTGAAGTCAAATTTACACCAAATTGCTCATATAGATACAAAAGTATTTTATTCTTCAGTTGCTGTATTAGATATTACATTTTTGCAAGAATAACCAAAGTTTTAATGAAATTGTATGCCAACTGTAGGGTTGTGTACAGTTGTAACACTTGACAGTATCTGGCATCAACTTGTGGTTCATAGTTGGTGATTGTTGCTTGTCACTGTAAATTATGTCAGAATTGTAGCAGGAATAACAATGTGAATAAGAAAAGTCTGATAACACTGTGAATAAGAAAAGTCTGCATAAACAAGTACAAAACATTCAGTGAATACAGCACCTTATGTTCACTACACCACCCTACACCTCATGTTCACTGTACACCACCCTCCTACTCATGTTCACTGTACACCACCCTACACCTCATGTTCACTGTACACCACCCTACACCTCATGTTCACTGTACACCACCCTACACCTCATGTTCACTGTACACCACCCTACACCTCATGTTCACTGTACACCACCCTACACCTCATGTTCACTGTACACACCCTCACTGTACACCACCCTCCTATGTTCACTGTACCACCCTACACCTCATGTTCTCTACACCTCATGTTCACTGTACCCTCACTGTTCACTACACACCCTACACCTCTGTTCACTGTACACCCTACACATGTTCTACACCACCCTGTACCTCATGTTCACTACACCACCCCTACACCTGTACACCACCTCATGTTCACTACACCACCTACACCTCATGTTCCCTCACACCCACACCCCTCATGTTCACCATCCTACACCTCATGTTCACTGTACACCATACCTCATGTTCACTGTACACCACTGTACACCATCCTACACCTCATGTCACTACACACCACACACCTCATGTACACCACCCTACACCTCATGTTCACTGTACACCACCCTACACCTCATGTTCACTGTACACCATCCTACACCTCATGTTCACTGTACACCACCCTACACCTCATGTTCACTGTACACCACCCTGTACCTCATGTTCACTGTACACCACCTCACACCAACACCTCGAGACTGGATGGGAAAATGTACAATATAATGGTAAAAAAGCTGGAACTCTTGATCACAATTATGTCCAAATTTATGATTCTTGGCTCAAAGATTGTGTGAAATATTTGCCAGAGAAGCAAGAAAACAAAAAGTATAATACAAAATAAAGAATAAATGTTTTAGCCAAAGGACTTGGTCTCTATTGTGATCATATTTCAGCTTTGTATCTTAAAAAGTGAGAGATATGGCCCAGACAAGCAACCACTGTGCTTCATGCACCACTTGGGGAGGGAGGGTATACAAAAATACCAATCCCTCTTGCCTACACAACCCTCCAGTAGACACCAGATACTGTATTGTGTTGTTAAAGGTGTGAAATGAGTTGTCTGCAACTGTACATGGTACAGTATTGAAAATATGTATAATATGAATGAATACTAGGGACATATATCTTATTGGATGTAATATACAGCTATTAGTAGGAGTGTTTTATAAAAAGTAAGTTTATTTGAACACAAGAAAAGTAGTACAGTATAACTTTTGAGTTAAGTTCAGTATGAAATAATTTACTAAGGATTAGTTTTAAAGAAATCAATGATTTTAAATATACTTCCACTTAAGTGAAATTTGAATGTTAGCCTCAAGCTAAGCAAATATACAGTCAACAACAAGAGTTTGGAATTACAGTAATAAAATTAGGATAATTAACCTTTACTACAAGAAAATAGTAACACATTTACTTAAAAAAATGTTTCATCACCTTTTGTGGGTTTTTTAACTTTACAGTATATGCAGAAGTTAAACAAGTCATTTTTTGTGAGACATATTCCACATGGTTGACTTTTGAATATTATACACACAACAAATGTTTGCTGTAGGTCCTTGATCCAATTTTCAAAGATATTGTCCAAATTCAAGGCTAAAGGCAAATTGTACTACAGTTAGATAGGCACCAACTAGATCAAAACAAGGAACATTACCTGGTACTGTAGTCAGTCATCTATGAACTTTTACGTGTAGCAAATGTGACTTCTTGTGAATAATGTGGGTAAAAGGACCCCAGATACCATGTTGTTGACTTATTTTACAGAAAACTATAAAGTAATCTCCCCGTTAGGCTGAATTTTCTATCCCCACAACTTTCCATTACAAAGGGGAAATTTTTTAGCATTCCTTGAAAATCCGATAAAACTCTCTCCTTTCCTGGCGTTCACACAAATTTCCAAGAGATTACATGGTGCGCTGACACGTGCCAAGCGTATTGGTGGGTAAGCTCAGAATGCTCATGAACAGTGATTGGCTCCATTTACTCACTGCTGTCTTCGTATAAAATCTGTGTTGTACAGTACTGTACCAGCACATAATCAGCCAAGAATACAGTGACCCCTCGGTTAACGAACTCAATCCGTTCCAGAAGGTCGTTCGTTAACCGAAACCATTGTTTCAATGGGTTTTTGGGTAATTGGTTCCAGCTCACCGAAAATTTCCTAAATTCAACAAAAATGGTAGAAAAGTTCACTTACTTGGAGGTGTGTATGTAGAAGGCTCCTGGATGATGATGATGATGGGATTTAGAATGGGGGTGGAGGAGAAGGGAGAAGAGAAGGCATTGGGGTGGAAGATAAGTCACCCCATGGTGCCATTTCACCCATAAAATTTTAGCTCTCTTGGTGTAATTCAAGATTATTTTCTTTAAATCAACACTGCACTGCATTATGTATTGTCAATATGTAAAATATATTTCAAAATAACCAATAATTTGCTTGGAAACACAGAAAAAAAGCGTTTAGTTGAAGAGAGTCTCAAGCAAGATGTTACCTCCAGTGAAAACAGAGAGAGACTAACTCCTGTTTGCTGTGTTAAGAGGCTGGATGCCGCGCATTAAACTAGTCACTTTACCTTCAATTATGTTCAATAATTGTTAAAATGACTAAAAAATTATTGAATAGTATAAACTTCTTGATATTTACTAAAATAGTAAGGAATTTAAGCCCTAGAACCGATTAATGTATTGGCGGACTGATACTAAAGCTGGTTGCCCGGTCAGTGCAAGCGAAAACATGTTGAGGATCGGTTCGTAAGAACTTCGTTAACCGAATTGAAGATCCTTATGGAAGGCAGTTCGTTAATCGAAATTACGTTAACCGAGGTGTTCGTTAAACGAGGGGTCACTGTACCGTTAAATCAGTGTCAAGACATAAAAAGTGATTACAGTTACTGTACATACAGTATACTCTACTGTACTTTCAGTAAGAGTGAAAGTACCATAACTTCATTACTGTATACAGTGGTCCCTCGGTTAACGAACGGTTCAGTTAACGAAATTTCGGTTAACGAATTACCTTCCATAAGAATCTTCAAGTCGGTTAACGAACAAAAATTTTATTAACGAAATCCTTACGAACATCATGTTTTATTGTGAGCATCAGCTGATGGGCTAGTCCGCCAATTCAGTAATCTGTTCTATGTTTACATTCGTTTCCAGTGGAGTAAATATCAAGAAAGTTGTGCTCTTTAATATTTTTTTTATTTTTTTTATTAAAATTATTAGTCATTTTAACATTTATTTAACATATTGATAATATATGCAGTACAGGGAACTAGTTTTTTGTGCGCCCATCAGATGCATGAGTTGGCCACAAGGCGTCAGTTAAGCTTTGAAAACAGTGGAGAGAGCATCTATTTTGTTGGGGTCTTGAATATTTTTGCATTTTCCATTGAAATTATTGGTCATTCTGAACTTTAGTTAACATATTGATAATATATAGCACAGTGCAGTGTTAATTTAAATAAAATAATCTTGAATTACACCCAGTGAACTTAAAATTTTATTGGTGAAATGACGGCATCAAGCATGGGTCCCCTGAAAGGTGATTTCTCCTCCATCCCCACTTCCTTCTCTTCTCCCTTCTCCTCCACCCCCACTTCTAATTCCCGTCATCATCATCATCCAGGAACCTTCTACATACATACCTCAAAGTAAGTATACTTTACTGCATTATTTATTTTACTTTGTATGTACTTTTCGGTGAGCTGGAACCAATTACCCAATATCCCATTGAAACAGTGGTTTCGGTTATCAGTATGTTGATCTATGTACTGTACTGCATTACCTCATGAAAAGGTTGGAGGTGACGAAGGCTGCATCTGTCTAAAATATTTCACAATGTCTGATTAATGTTTGATAATTTATTTAATTATTTACAGATTGATCATAATTAGTTTTACTAAACTGCTAATAGAGGCAATACTTTTATTATATTGTTTGTCATGCCTCTGTGAATTACCATTGCAAGGTTAACTAAGGTTTTATTCATTAGTTTGGGTCCAGTTTCCTTAAAATATCAATTAGGAAAGTCAGAGAAAGGACTACACTACAGTACAAAATATATTACTAATCAATGAGATCTACCTTCATACACCCCAATACTGTACTGTACTGTACTGTACTGTACTATACTATACTATACTATACTATACTATACAGGGGTACTGTACTGTTTTTTTAATGGGGATTAGCCCACCCGGGCACAGGTCACTGACCCACATCGGGGCCTGGGGGGCGAAAATGTAACAATAATAATTCATAGTAAATAAAAATACAAAATTAAATAATAATGATAATAATAATAACACTGTAATAATAATAAAACATAAAGAAATGCAAAAATTAATAAAAGATCAAAAGTGAGGAACAATATATGTATGTTGTGTTGTCAAAGTAAGAGAAACAATTGAGACCCTGCAATTGTGTGTAAATGAGGCAGAAAGTCAGATCAGCAACCTGGGACTTGGTAACATGGCAGCAGGGTCTACCATTAGACAACACATTATGCTTCTAATATCTTCCCAGTTTGGTAGCTGCCTACTACCTGTACACATAATAGGACTAGACTTTTGTGTGTTAACTTCTGTTGAGAGATGAATAAAAATATTAACAAATATATATCAAAAATTAACTTTTGGTGATGCGAACATATTAGTGTATCACAGCTACACCTTAAGTCTCCTTGTTAGTTGACAATATATTGCAGGCACTGAAAATGTATAGACCAAACATGTATTAGAACTAAAACAGTGATGACTTTAGGGTGTGATCAATAGGCTGTCTCTGTAGCAGCACTGATTTGAAAGTTAACAGTGCTGTCTGACTCATTATAATAATTGTGTAACTTGGCACATAATGTGGATAATAAACAATGATGGTGGATGGGATAATGAGGTGTACAGTATAATGAAGATTTTACCAACTGATTACATCATATGAACAGGAGGAAAAAAATATTTAAATGTTTGTCATTCACATCTTGTATAAGTTGACAGCAGTCACAGTTAATTAAGACCTGACAACAGTAATATATCCGTGGCAGAAGTTGTTG